CAGGCTTGGCATGCTCTCCAGGTGCCCACCAGTGGGATAGGGCTAGATGGACACCCCTGGGCACCTGTTGGTGCTCAGACTGGGGGCCACACCTCTGCCCAGTCTTCTGACTTGGGCAGCTGAGGCTGGCATCCGGAATGGGGTCCCACATCCCTGGGACCTCCCAGAACGCATCCCCCTGGCCCTGGTGCCCAGCCCTAGCCTTGCAGAACTGCTCATCTTTCCTGATTTCACTCATTTCCTGTTCTGGGGCCCCTTGGGGCCACAGGAAAGGCCAGGAGCCGGGGGTGGTCGCACTGCACTGATGGCCGTCGGCCTCCATGATGCCTGCTGGGCCAGGCCTTGGTGGGGCAGCGTGCCTGAACCTCAGTCCCAGGTGCCTCAGAGGCCCCGCCACACGGCTCCTTGTCGCTGCTGCAGCCGGAGCAGAGGCCTGAGGCTGTCAGTCTCCTCTCTCCCCTCCCACTCTCCTCCCCTGCCCCCTGCACCACTCCTCCGGCCACACCACCCAGTGCGCCACCTGCAGTGGGATCCCACAGCGGGAGAGGCACAGGGTCCGTGGGGAGGAAGGGCAAGACGTGGACCGGGACAAGGGTCGGGGGTCCGTGGGGAGGAAGGGCAAGACGTGGACCGGGACAAGGGTCGGGGGTCCGTGGGGAGGAAGGGCAAGACGTGGACCGGGACAAGGGTCGGGGGTCCGTGGGGAGGAAGGGATGAGGGGCTCCACAGACACCCAGCGGAGGACAGTCCCCAGGGCATGTGGGCCCCAGGACGCGTGGGTGGTGAGCTGTCTTGTCCGCTTTGGGTGATCTCTGAAGTGGTCAGTCCAGTGGGGAGGGTCCCCTGGCTGCAGTGTGGAAACGGGGGACGGGGATGGCTGGGGGCCACCCGCGCCACCCGCAGGAAAGACAGGTGAGGAGAGTATCTCAGCTCAAGCTGCAGGATGTGGGACGTCCTCTGGGTGGGGGGCTGGAAGGTGACCGTGGGGGGAGACCCTGGGGTGGGGGGTCATGGGGTCTTAGAGGAGACTCACAGCCCTTGGACTGTGACCCTCGAGAGCCCAGTGTTTGTTCCGAGGCCAGGCTGCGGTTTAAGGACAGACACAGGAGGCCTTCCACCTGCTCCCTAGACTCAGGGCAGGAGAGAGACAGTGGCTGAACCCAGGGCTCACTTATTAGGAGGATAAACAACCCAAGCCTCTCTCCAAACCCCCGGGTCCAGAGTACAAGCATCAAGGAGCAAATTAGGTATAATTCGGTCTTCACTGGGGTACCTGCTGCCCAGATGCCTTTGAACACAGGGTTCTCCACGGTTGCTCTGGAGGCCCCAAGCGGGGCTGGCTGCCTGGCCAGCTTTAGGCCTGTCTGTGGCCAGCAGCCATGTGCTCCCTCGGCCCCAGACTGCAAGTCACACGATGGGGACCAGGTGCCTGGGTCAGTGGGCTACTGAGGGGCCACGGGCTATCCCTGTCAGACCCCGCCGATTCTGGCCACGACCCAGCCTGCCCCTCCCTCCCAGCCCAGACGCTGGACACAGGGAAGCCTGCTCCTGCGAGGCACGTCTGTGCTGAGCTGTGGGGGGGCCTACCCAGCCGGAGGTGAGGGGTCTCTGATGCCCAGAGAGTGACCACAAGCAGCCGGGAGGGATGAGGGCTGGCGGGCATCAGGAGCTGCGCTGGCCTAGGGCTCACCCGGGAGCCTGTGGTCCCTTTGCTGCTTGAAGTCCTCCTCTGACAGGTGCGTGTCCTGGGAGAGACCCCCTGCAGCGGCCCCCACCTCAGATCTTACCATGTCCCTGAGCCTCCCCAGCTCCTGCCACCAGGTGGACCCAGGCTTTTGGGGGATCTGGATGGGGCAGCTAGTTCTTGGTTCAGAACTGGGGGGTATGGGACAGATGTCTGGTACAGCACCAATCCCAAGGGGCGAGCTGTGGGTGCTCCCCGTCACCACACGGCTCATGCTCCCCTCCCCACAAGGCTGTGTGCTCCCTTCATGATGGCCGGCCACCCTAGGGGACACTGCCTCCTCCAGACTCTCTTGGGTCCCACACTTCTCTTTTTTGTATTCGAATTCGTGGTGTTATATATATTTTTAAATTAAGTTTTTAAGATGACTGTAAATTCAATGCAGTTGTGACAGATAATACAGGAAGTGCCATGTTCACCTCGCCCAGTGTCCCCAAATGGCAGTCTGGCAAAACTACTGGACGATATCACGAGCAGGTCACTGACACTCAGGCCGGATGTGGGACAGTTCCATCCCCAGGAGGACCCACCTCCCCTCCTGGCCAAGTCCTCTCTGTGACCCCTGGCAGCACTGTCTGTAACTGTGACCATCCGAGAATGTCACTGAAATGGGAGCAGCCAGCATGCCAGCTTTCTGGGATTGGCTTTTCTTGCTTGACATAACTCTTTGGAGAGTCATCCCGTCACTGCCAGTGTTTCTGAAGTTTTGTAGCCTGGGACCTTGGCCAAAGCGCGGTCTCCGTGACCCCGTCTCTTCCCCCACCCTCAGGGAAATGCAGGGGCTTTTCGTTGCCAGGGCTGCGCGCCAGTCTGCGCAAGTGCTGAATGCAGGCGCTGGCTCATGACCGCGGTCCTCTGATGGCCCCTGCCCTCTCTCCTGACACCCGCCCTCCGCACTGGCCCCAGGGGAGGGAGTGGCAGGACCAGGGCCATCCAGGAGTGGCGCACTGCTTGAGGTGGTGCTGGGCGCCCCCATACCCACCCGGCCCTCATGCTCGGCAAGTGTGGGCTCTGACAGCTCCTAAAGAGAGACTGGTTGGGCTGGGAGGAGGGTTGGCTGTCCTGTGTCCCAAAACCCCAGTAAAAACCAGTTGGGTGGTCTGACTCCCCATCTCCCAAGAGCCTACTGTCTCCTGGGCCCCGGGTCGGTGCTGGGCTCAGCCGCTGGTCTATAGGGCACACAGGCGGTGTGGAGCCCACAGTATGTGCCTCGGCAGGTGGGAGGCGCAGTCTAGGGAGGGCCACCCTGGCCCGGAGAGCACGGTAGCCAGGGCAGGCTCTGTCCCTGGGCCCCAGGACCGCAGGGAAGGTGGTGGCTGAAGGGCACTCCAGGAAGGGGCCCCTGGCGGTCAGCTCCAGCATGTGGCCTGAATCCTGACGTCACAACTGCAGTAATGATGTGCACAGTCGGCCTGGGGAGGGTTTGCTCTGTCTTGAAATTTAATAATTTTGGTTGAACAACAGGAAGTCTCCGTTTTTGTCAAAACTGGTTGCCTCCCTGCACTTTCATGTGATTCGACTGAATCCTGAATTTCGTAGGCTCCCCTCCCGCCAAGAAACATGTCCGGATTTTTAGATTTTTTTTACCGAGAGGCCTTGGATGTGGCTGCAATGCTTCCCATGGGAGAAATCGGAAACCTCAGCAGGACTGCAATGCCCGGCAGGGGTCTGGAGGTCCAGCCCTCGGCTTGTACCCTGGCTCTGCCATCCGCACGTCTCGTGGGTCCCAGAGAGCTGTGTGGTCCGTCCAAGCACCGCCTCCACGTCTGGAAAACGGACGCAGGCACGCGCCAAGCCCTTCGACAATCCCGGGGTTCACGCAACACGTCCAGGTGAGAACGGCTGGCAGGGTTCCCTTCTGCTCACCCCCGTGTCCCCAGACCCGGACCCTCTCGTGAATCCTTGTCCTATAAACCAGGCGTTCACACGGGGCAGTCAGTCCTGGCTCGAGCCGGCAGATCAGAAAGCTCGCGTTCACCTTGTCGTCAGAACGTGTCAGATCTCGGGGCCTCTCTGGCCCAGCATCCACCTTCTAGCGGCAGGAGACTCGCAGCCACAAGACTACCCCCCACTTCCTTCTGGCTCAAGAACCCACATGTTGGGTGTCCTACCTTTCAACAAAAATAACCCACACCTGCCACTATGGACTGTGTCCCTCAAAACTCAGACTGAAGCCTTAACCCCCAACGTGACAGGACCTGGAGGCGGGGTTAGCGGAGGTCAGGCGGGGGTTGGGGGGCTCTGATGGGATCAGTGTCCTTGTGAAAAGGGACATGTGCTTCGGCTGTCTCTCGCCACAGGCCGCAGTGAGAAGGCAGCCACCTGCGCACCAGGAAGAGGGCCCTCACACCCCAGGCCAAGTGGCACTCGCATCGGATGTGACAGCCTCCAGGACCAGAAGGGATACACATCTGCTGTTGAAGCCACCTTGTCTGCGGTGTTTTGTTACCATGACCCAAGCTAAGGCACCTGCTCTGAATATCTATGGCCTGAGAACACAAGAGAATGGCAAGGAAAAGGCAAGTCCGAGATTTGTACCTTCTGTCTGCACTGCCCCGAAGTGGCCTGCAGACGCTGTGGCGGCGCCGCCAGGCCCCCGAGCCCGCAGAGCCGGGCCAGGCTCCCTGAGAACCCCGCAGCGCCACGCACCACTGGACCCGGCGGGGCTGGTGCCTGACCGGAGCCTCTGTTTTACTTCGGTGGCGGCCGTAGCACTCACTTTTCACATTTGATGGGGGAAAAGGAAACCCAAATCTTCCAAGGATGTGTTAACGTACGAGAGGGTGATCCGCCGGAGGGGGGGTGCACGTAAATGCCTCCTGTCTCCAAAAGGACACTCCAGGCAGCAAAGCCTGTGTTCTTAAGACAGAATGTGGGAGACCTCACCAGTGCTTCCAAGGGTTCAGATTCCTGGAACTTGGTTGGGCCCAGAGTCTAAAATAACAGCTGTGCGTGTGAGAAACACTTGCCCTGCACGGCCGCGAGGAAGCCTTAAAAGGAGTCTTTTCAGATCCAGACAATGGGACTGACTTCCCAGTGTAAACTGGAAAGAGAAATGGACAGTTTTAGAATTCTTCCACGTTTAAACACATGCAGCAACGGGTCTGCAACTCAAGCTGTAAAAACAGATTAATCCACAAATTCCAAGTTCTAATAGAAAAGTCTTCCCTTAAATAATTTAAAAAATACCGAGACCCACACGCTCCCAACTTAAACTCTTATCTACACAAATTTACAATATTTATAAGTCGCAGGCTGGTGCCGAATCACATTTATCACAAGTTCACTCTGGACCAACACAGACCAAGATAACACTGAAGCTAAGTAACAATAACACCGAGTTAAATCTTGGACATACACGTGACAAACAGTTCCAATGTGAAACGTGAAAGGAGGTAACCTAACTCAATAAATCTACAGCAGTTTTGATTAAAAGCCACGGGAGTGCAACGCAGCGAAGTGGCAACATGCAAGGGCCTGAGAGTCAGTTCCCTGCAGCCACGGCTCTTGGCCCTGCAAGTTCCTACGTGGACAGTCACCACAGGATGCCTGACGGGACACAGTCCCCGCCCCTGAACGAGTCCAGATTCTTTCTCTGCGGTCAGGGTCCCCAAGTGCCCGTCAGCGCCGGCCTCTCAACACCTGCCTCCACCTCAGGAGAGGCCGGCGAACGGACAGGTTGGGGCACGGCTACAAGGCTGGGCATCTGCACAGCCAGGCCGATGCTGGCCGCGATCCAGGGACGAGACGTTTCTACCTGGACATGAGGTGTCGCGATGGTACGCCCCAGGGCTCTCCCAGACCCAGAACGAGAGGCTCCCGAGCCAGGCCCTGTGGTGGCCGCCCCGGTGCACGGCCCTCGGGGCGCAGTGGAGTGAGGACCCGCAAGCTGTCCACCGACGCTTGGCGTCTGCCTGCAAACCCTGCGCTGGTGGCCGCAGAAACCAGGTCCCCTGGAGGGCTGGGCTCCTGCTGGACAACCAGCCAGAACCCGTCGGCTGTGCCCGCGCCAGGCCGCCTCAGCCGCTGCCCCGCACCGTCGGGCGGCGGCCGCAGCTCAGGGGATGCCCTCCTTCCTCTGACAGCACTGCGAGGGGGGCGCGGACCAGTCGTAGACGTAGGACAGGCGCAGCTGCACCTCCTGCCGGCACAGGCGGCCCTCCCGCGTCAGCGTCTGGTGCTTCTCCAGCATGTCGTCCAGGCTCTGCTTGTGGGTCACCAGGTACTGGTTGCTGCAGCCGCGGGACTTGTACTCGGTGTCGAAGCGCGGGTCGTGCTCGCGCTGGACGTCCACCGGCGCCAGCCAGGCGCCCAGGGACACGTCCTCGCTGTGCCACGTGCGCAGGTACTCGCGGCTGAGGCGCAGGTAGTGCACCAGGTCGGCCGAGAGCACGTAGCCGCCGCCCAGCGCGTAGGGCAGGTAGTAGTCACAGAGCTGCCAGGCGGCCTCGCGCCAGCGGCCCCCGGGCTTGACGCGGCCGCGGCCCGAAAAGAAGCCCCAGTAGAGGCGGCGGCGACGCGCGGGTTCGCGCGCGCGCAGCTCGGCCAGCAGCGCGTCCAGCCGCGCGAAGGAGTCGTCGTCCGCCTTGAGCACGAACTCGAAGGCCACGTGCTCGTCCAGCCAGGACAGCATGGCCAGCACCTTGGCCGTGAGGTTCTCGTACGCGTCGCGCAGCGCGGGCAGCAGCAGCAGGTCGCCGTGCCGCGCCTGCTCGCGCTCCAGGGCGCGCCGCTCCTCGGCGCCCAGGCCGCCCGTGCCCACCGCGAAGCGCGCCCACACGTCGCCCGGGCCGCCGCGCCGCGCCGCCGCCAGCCACGTGCCGCGGACGACGCTGCGCCGCTCGGCCGCCCGCGGCGCGCTGGCCACCAGCACGGCCAGGAAGGCGGCGGCGCGTGCGGGCCCGGCGGGCGCGGGGCTGCGGCCGGGTGGCGGGCGGGGGCCGTCCGCGGCGCAGCGGGCCAGGTAGAGCAGCCCGGCGCCGCAGAGCGCCAGGCCGCCGAGGCCCAGCGCCGTCCGGTGCCGCCACGCGCGCCGCAACAGCTTCATGGCGCGCGCGCGCGCGGGAGGCGCCCGAGGCTCCGAGGCCGGCGCGCAGGCCGCGTCCCCCCCGCGGTGGAGGCGGAGGGCTTGGGGATGCCCGTCACGTGGCCGCCCGTCACGTGGGCACGCGCGCCCTTCTCGTTGGTTGCCCCGGGAAGGCCGCGCGGCCACTTCCGCCCGGGGGAAAGATGGCGGCACCAGCGTCGTCGCCGTGGGGTCGCGCCCGCGCGCGCCGTTCCCGGTCCGCCTCTTCCCGGAAGAAAGATGGCTGCGGCCTAGGCGCGTCCCGTTGGAGGCGTCACGGGCGCTCGGGCCCCGCTCGGCGGATCCTGGGCGAGGGGAGGGAGGCCGGTGAGTGAGGGCCCCGGGGCGGGGCGTCGGGAGGTCCGCAGACGCTGGACCCTGGGCCCCTGCCCTTTCTGCCCACACCGACGGATCCTGCCGGGAAACTGAGGCTGAGGGAGACAGGTCGGCAGGGGAGTGGGGTGGACCCCGCTATTTACCAGCGAGGTGACCTCCCTCCCCTCGTCTGTAAAAGGTGCCCTAATTGGTAGGACTTGGTGAAGATTTGAAATGATGGTTGTAAAGCCCTGGATTTCCTGTCCAGCCAGTGACAGTTGTTAGGAAGACTATTAGTGGGACTCCTAAAACCGGGACAGAGCTGTCGGAATAAGGTTTGCGTTTTGATCGGCAAGAGATACAGGTTCGCCAGAACGGACACCCCAGGGTGGCCAAGAAGTGTCGCCTCCACTTAAGCTGGGCACCCTGGGGTGGCGTTACCACCCTCCACTGATGTCGTTTCTACCGGAGGGGGATTCCCTAGTCAAGGGACAAAGCCCCTGCCCTTTGAAATCCATTCTGGTGGGGCAGGCAGAGGACGAGGAATTGAGCAGTTGACTGAGATATTCAGCCATGCTGCTCCTGTTGTACTTTCCAAGATAGGTAATTGTCATAAGCGAGAGGAGGAAGTGTCACTTGACCTCGTGGTGTCTGTTCAGTTATCTTGGGGTTGCTTTTTGTACAGAACGTAGCGTACCACCCATGAAGATAGGCGGAGAATTGATCTTGCTCTTTCAAGGAGCAAAGTACAGTGTGTTTGGACACGGTATGTGTTTTTACGGCCACAGTCAGTAAGGGTTATAGTAACGTCAGGGGAAAGTCCTCTGGGTTTGTGCGCCACTTTCCTAGCCAGGAGAGCTGGGACACAGCACCGGAGTCACACTCCAGCAGGAAAGGACGCCGTCCAGGCCACTGGAAGGAAACCCAGCATGAGCACCTGTGTCGCGGGCTCCCTGCCTTGGTGACTGCAGGCTGCGTTTCCTCCCAGGCCCACCTTCAGGCGGCCCCTCTGCGTCTCCTTGGCACCTGCACAGCATCTCCACTTAATACCCTGTGATGTGCTTGCTGGGGCTGTGGGTTCCCCGCCAGGCACCACTTCTTCGTGGTCTGTTTACATACAGCCATGTCGGTTTTGAGTCACGTGCCCTGCTCTGTTCCCATGGGCCCCGGGCTCTTTATTGTACGCTGTTGCAGGGCGCTCATGTTTTCAGGAGCACGCGTATTGCAGTGTGGCAGAAATACCTGCATGTGTTCACTCACTTCTGTGGCGTGCCTGCTAGGCGGTGTGACGGCTCTTGGGATGGTGACGTGGGGGAGGGTGTGACGCTCTGGTAGATGCGATTGAGGGGCAGTCACAGTACAGAGAACACCATGGGACAGCTGCTTGTGGAGAGGTGGCAGGCACTGGGAGGAGGGATGTCCGCTGCCCTGTGAGAGGTGCTCCCTCAGAGGGGTGAGACACATGAGAGCAGGGGCTTGTTGAAGGGCCCAGGTAGGACCCAGGTTCAGAAGATTAACGCACAGAGGCATCACCTGTCAGGAGGATAATGCCAGTCAGGAGCAGTTAGGCTGAAAAGGAAGCATCGAATAAGCAAGAGGTGACGTCCGCTAGTGTGGCCTGGCCAGCCAGGGCTGTGTGCCCTCAGGCTGTGGTGTGGCGGCCGTGCCGCTGGACAGCATAGGCATCTGCTTTGCCGCAGCTTGGCGGCAGATGGCTCCCTGGCCTGCGGTGGGTGTGTCCAGGGCCCGCCACCCCTGGGCTTCCCTCAGCTGCTCCTCCATGGAAAGACTGCCAGAAGAGGGGAGGGTCTCAGCCGCACCCGCGACGACCAGGCTACATCAGGCGCAAGAAGGAGCTAGAGCCCTGTTTGGGAAGTGTGCAATGCGAGTGTCCACGCGGGTGGGCGGGCAGGTGGCCGGGCAGCTGTGCCCTGTCCCACCACCGGCCAGAGGGAATCTGGAGGCACCTGGAGGGTGAGGGAAGGCAGGCGGGCCCATGCAAGGGAGCAGATGTGGGAGAAGGCTGCGATGGCCGAGTGTTAGTGGCCCTGGGATCCTTAATGTGGTGACGTGGACAGGAAGGTGGCCTTGGTTCACCGTTGCCAGGCCAAGGCCCACCTGGGATGACAGACCTCCTGGTGCCGCTGTCTTGGTGGTCCTGTGTGAACACGAGCAAGAACGTGGGTGCGCTCACATGCACGTATATGTAGGTGTACATGTGGAGGTGCGTGTGCACAAACATGTATAGGGGTACATGTGCGCACACTTACACGTATGTGCCTTGTGCGTGCACGTGCGTGTGTGCACATCTGCAGAGGTCACTGAGGTGGGAAGGTGGGAAGGGGCTGGTGCCCTTCTAGGTGGGTTTGGGCGTTTGCACTGGCACCAGGCTCAGTCCTCACAAAGCCCCAGGGTGGGGGAGGGGCCTCCCGTTACAAGGGGGAAACTGAGGCTGGGGAGGTCAGGAAACTTAGCCAAGTTCACAGAGCTCACAAAGGCTGAGTTGGGATTTGGAGAGTGAATTACCACGTCTCTGGGGTCAGTCTCGGTGGCAGAAGGGATGGAGAGAGGCTGTTAGGCCCGCTGTAGCCATTGGAAGGGGCAGGCCTAGTGGTGCTGGGCGGCTCTCGACATGGGGCCACTTCATCCGAGTAAGAGAGATGAGAGCTGGAAACCCAGCATCTTTCGAAAAAAAAAAAATAGTATGTCTAGTATGGATCCTGTCAAGCCAGAACTTCTGTTTCACGTTGTAAGTAAACACTTCTTTGGTGAAGTATTTGCTGAGTCTCCCCTAAACGATGGCTGTGTTCTCTTTGTAGGCCGTTAATGCTGGGGACTGGCAGCCACGGGCTGTTGGCTTTCTGCAGGGCCTGGGGTGGTGGGAAGGCTGTGACCCCAGGCCCCCCTTCCTCACCTGCCCCGCCCCTCTCTCCCCAGCTGCTGGCCGCACTCGCGGGACATCCTGAAGTCCGGACCCAGGTGGCCATGGCATCCAGGCAGCCTTCCCTCTGTGGCCTGGCTTCTCACTGCCTCTGGGTCTTGGGGGTCATCCTTCTGATGGATGTGTCTGCCCGGCCTGCCAACCACTCATCTGCTCGGGAGAGGGCAGGCAACAGGGAGGAGCATGAGATCGTGCCCCCAGACCACCTGAATGGGGTGAAGCTGGAGATGGATGGGCACCTCAACAAAGACTTCCACCAGGAGGTCTTCCTGGGGAAGGACATGGACGGGTTTGAGGAGGATGCGGAGCCACGGAGGAGCAGGAGGAAGCTGATGGTCATCTTCTCCAAGTAGGTGCCCAGGCCCGGGGTGGGGGGTGGGGGGCAGTTAGGACCTAACTGATTTGCTCACCTGGCACTTAGTGTGGCCAGAGCCCATGCACGCCATGTGCTGGGGCTGGCTGGGGTCACAGGTGGCAGGGACCCAGGACCTTAGGGCACTTCCTGCCTGGCATGGGCCTGGTGAGTTCCAGGCTCCCAGGGTACCGTGGTGACACAGTCTTGTGCCAGGACCCAGGATGCATGGCTCCCAGGACCCAGGATGCATGGCTCTCAGTTCCAGGAAGGAGACGGAGAGGAGCTTGGTCATGGGGCTAACTTTCTTGTGGGAGCCACTCTGAGTGCACACAGATGTCACACAGGCTGTGCACACACGCACAGGCCACGTGCACTGGCTGCGAGCACACACAGAGGTCACATGGCTGGGGGGCATTGGAACCTCCGAGGGAGGAGAGGGGCCTCATGGCCCGGGCATGAGCTCAGGAGGAGGCCCTGGGCCGTTGGACTGGGCTGTTTCCTGAGCCTGCCAGCCTCAGCTTCCTCACCTGCGCGAGGGCGCGTTGAGAGCCCTGCTTCCCGGGCATGGTGAGAAGTCCCGGGACCCTGTGTTTGCTGTCAACTTGTAGGACAGGGTGGGAGAGGGCGGAGTACAGGTGGAGGCCAGCGGGGCGGGCAGAGGGAGAGGGTGTGCAGAAGGGCGTGGCGGGTTTTGCCCAGAGAGGGGTGGGTGGAGACTAAGCAGGTGCAGGTGGAGGTGAGGAAGGGCAGGGTGGGTGTGAGGCCCCTGCTGCTGAGCAGAGGCGTCAGGTGCCCCAGTCATCTAGCAGGGGTGACGAGAGGCAGCCAGCAGGCGTGCATGTGTCCTCGGCGTAGAAGGCCAGGTCTGGACGCTGGGTGAGAGGTCCAGATAGAGGACCGTGGCCAGACCAGGGCCTGTGGGGTTCAGAGGTGAGGAGGAAGAAGCCACCAGGAGGCTGTGGCGTAGGAGCACGTTGCTTTCCTGTGCGGCCCCCTCGGATGCCACCCAGGAGGGACGGGTGACTGTCAGCTGTGCAGTGTGCCACAGCCTTGTCCAGCATACGGACTTCACTACTATCTTTGGAGTGAACTTTGCTGCTTCCAGTGGACAGAGGAAAGCTGGGAACTGAGCCACCAGGTGGCACGTGGCTCCTTCTTGGTGGTCAGATGGAGGCGGCAAGGTTGGGGTGCCCATTCTTTTGTCTCCATGGCACCCTGATGGGGTTTCCCTGGATGGGGCTTGGTGAGAGAGGTGGATCCCGGAAGCCCGCCAGTGAGGGGCGCTCTGTGCACCGGATGCAGGGAGGGGCAGGGGGAGTAGCAGGTGGGCTGCCCACTGGGGGCAGGAGCTGGGGGCATTTGGGCTGGCTGAGACCGAGGACAGAGGTGGGCGCTGCCAGATCACGTGGAGGGCGCCGGGCTCTTCCCAGGAATCTGTTGGGAGCACCCAGATCCCCACTGAGAACCACCTTCCCGGCAGCCTGGAGAGGATGGTCTGCACCACTTGGTGGGCCAGGGCCAAGTGTATGCCCACAGTCAGTCTTTGGGCTGAAAACGCCCAGGTAAGGGGATCTACCCAGGCCTGCCCTGGGCATCCTCGGGAGAGAGGGTGGCTCCACCCTGGGCCCTGAGGTGCCCTTGGGACTTTGGACCTGTGAATATCTTACCTGTTATAAGATCTTCCATCCAAACAGATTCAAATTCAGCTCTTGGACCAACAGCAGGTTCTCCTGGCCCTGCTTCTGTGCCTCAGAGCCCTTGGCACCTCTGTGCGTTGGGGCCTGGAGGGTCTAGTGGAGGGGCCGAGGGCTCCGGGAGGAAGGGGCCGCCAGAGGGGCCAGGCAAGGCCTACCGGTGACGGCAGTGGGGCAGAATCCAGAGAGGGTGGATTCGCCCAGAAACTCAGTGCCAGGGGCAGGTGGGTGACACTGGAGCGGGGTCCTGAAGGAGCGAGGCGCACGGTGGGGAGGCGGGACACTTTCCTGCTGTTGCGTACGTTCTAAACGTTGAGGGTTAGTTCCCTACCCGGTTGGGACGTGGGTGGGTATCGGACAGCGATACTGAGGGAGCCTGTGCTGCAGCAAGGCCGGGAGCGTGAGGGCTGGGGCTGTGTCCAGAGCCCACCTGGGGCTCACACCAGGGGCTCTGAGGGCTGGGTATGCAGGGGTCTGTGTGTGTGTGGGGGTCTTCCGGGCCATACCTGGGCCTTCTCTTCCTGGGCACCTGTGTGCATGCAGCCACGAGGGGCCCTGCGGTGTGGAGAGGTGGCGTGTGCTCAGGGGTCACGATGCTGAGAACACGTCACCCAAAGTGCAGAAAACTGGGCCCGCAGCCAGTCGCTGCCAGGCGGAACCGGGTCGCGCCGGCTCACACGCCAGCTGCTGCTCGTTCGTCTCTCAGGCATGGCTGTGTCTGTCCCGAGTGGCGTCCCCGATTTTGTGGGGTCACAGGCAGGGAGCCTCGAATCTCTCTCACTGCCCCTCGTGGCCGTGGCTTCCACATGGACTTTTTGGTCCCCTGCCCAAGTCACGTGTGGCCTCAGGGTCTGGTTTTGATGAAAGTAATGTTGCCACAACATTTCTGAAATAAGCTGTTTGTTTTGGAAGAATATGAGATTTACGGAAAAGTGTTGAAGACGGCCGGTTTCCCCAGACCCGGACACTGAGGTGAGCGCGGTGCCTCTGTCAGAACTAAGAGTGCTGTGTTCCTGTCGCCTACCCCCCAGTCGCAGATGTCACTCAGGTCCCCAGCGTCCCTGTCCGGGTCCCACGCTGCGCTGAGCGTCACAGCTCCTTTGTCCCCTCTGGGGTGTGCTGTGTCTGGGACTCTCTTGCTTTGTCATGACCTTGACGGTTTGGGGCGGACCGCACAGGTGCCGGGTTTGTCTGTTGTGTTTCCTCGCGGTCAGAGGGAGGTTGTGGCTTCGGGAAAGGACACCCCAGAGGTGGGGTGGCCCTCTTGTCACAGCCTGTCGGGGTCACGTGGGCCCGGTCACCTGGGTCGGGTGGTGCCCGCCGGGTGTCCCTCTGTCTTCCGGGGCGGCTCCGTTGTCACTGCTCCCTGCAGGGTGGGAATGGAGCTGTGCCTCCCGGTGCGTGGGGGGAGGGGGGCGCTGTCGGACTTGGAACCCGGAGGGAGGACGTGTCCCCCACGTGCGCATGTTGATCGGTGGCCCCTTCCGCCAGCGGGGGCTCCTGGGTGTTCGTCGTGCACCCGGGGTGCCGTCCAGCACTGCGGTTGTGCTGCTGCCCTGGCCCCAGCCTTGGCAGGTGGGGGGGGTCCTGCATGGGTCTGTTTGGGGGGCACCGCCTCACTTCCTGGCACTGCCGGCGGCTCCAGGTGCGTGTTGCTGTGCGGCCGCCTCCCCTGGGGGCCCCGGTGCCTTTCACCGGAGGGCGGTGTCGAGGCCCGGGCCCCGGGGCGGTGTGCGCCTGCCGCCGGCGCCGCTGCCTGGGTCTCGTCGGTGGACGAGCTGGCTGACGTGTGCATGCGTACTAACGTGTGCATTTGTAGGTGTCATGCACACATGTCCTGACATGTGTACACGTGTGTGCACTAGTCAGTGCACGTGAGTATTGCTAACTCATGCTTGCATGGGAGTGTGCTAACCCGTGCACACACGTGTACAAGCCACATTTGCTTCTCCATCTAGGCATCTGCACCCGCCATTGGAACATGACCCTGCTCTGGCTTCACCGCTCTGGTCTGGGCCCCAGCATCTGGGTTGACCGTGCGGCCTGCCGAGAGCCCACCGTGGCCCCCGGACGGTTGGGGAAGTGGTGCTGGGCTTCAGCTGCAGAGCAAACGCCAGCCTTCCCTGCCGCCCCCAATGTGCCCTGACGCCTCCGGCACCACCGTTGGGTAGAGTGTGTCCCTGTTCATGGCGGTGGAGCCCTGCCCGCCATCCTTGAGTGCGTCCGTCGGCCCACCTGGTCTGATGTCGCCCCTCTGCCCGCAGGGTGGACGTGAACACGGACATGAGGATCAGCGCCAGGGAGATGCAGCGCTGGATCATGGAGAAGACAGCAGAGCACTTCCAGGAGGCCATTGAGGAGAGCAAGGTGCACTTCCGCGCCGTGGACCCCGATGGCGACGGTATGGCCGATGGGACTCCGGCTGCCAGGAGGGGGGCGGTGCGCAGAGGGCAGAGGATGTGGGGTGCCCGCCGCCACTGCCCACGAGACAGGCCTCCCGGCTTGCGTGTCCCCTGCGGGCGAGGACGGGGTGCAGGGGACGGGCTGGGGCTTCAGGCCGGGGTCTGGCCGTTCCGCTGCTTCTGCTCCTGTAGTTGCCTGGCATCTGAAAACAATTACATACCTCTTTTCATGGATTTGTCCTTTATTTTTTTTGTAAGTTTACTTATTTATTTATTTATTTAGAGAGAGAGAGACTCTGTGCGCGCACGTGCGTGCAAGTGGGGCAGGGGCGCAGAGCGAGAATCCCCAGCAGGCTCTGTCCTGACCGCTCAGCGGGGCTTGAACTCCCAAACCGTGAGATCGTGACCTGAGCTGAAACCACGAATCAGATGCTTAACTGACGGCCCCAGCCAGGCGCCCCTGCACGCATCTGTGTCAGACTGTCCGTTGTCCAACAACCCTAGCAGTTGGTCGTTTCTTCTAGGCCGTGTGTCATGGGACGAGTATAAGGTGAAGTTTCTGGTGAGCAAAGGCCACAGCGAGAAAGAAGTTGAGGAAAAGATAAAGAATGGCGAGGAGCTGAAGGTCGACGAGGAGAGTGAGCACCCAGGCCCTGCTGCAAGCCTGGAGGGGGAGGGGCGGGGCCGCAGGGGGAGGCGGGTGGGGCCCGGCGTGTCCCGTTCCTCCTGCAGGCGGGGGCCACCATCCCCTCCCTTGTCCCATCGTGTCTTCTCTTGGCGGATGTGCGTGCGTGGGAGTTTCTCTGCGGCATCTTTGTGCCCACGACGTGGTCCCTGTTTGTCGCGTGTCTGCCAGCTGCTCAGGTGAGTGTGCTGGCGGCCTCTGCTTGGTGAAGGCTGCTGCTGTGTCCTCCCGGCCACAGCTGTTCACTGCCGTTGTGTCCCCAGATGAACGGTGGGTGCCCCTGCCTGTGCCAGAGTGCGTGTTTCTAGGCCTGGACCCCGTGTCCTGTGTCAGGACGGCAGCCATACCTGCTTTCTGTGTGTAATTTTCCTGTAGTCTTGAAGCCCGCGCACAGCGAGGAGTGTGACTGGCCTTCCCGCGTAACTTCTGTCCTGTGGTCTTGATGCAACTGCTTAGTGGTTCCAGGTCTTTGTCAGCATTTCTTGGTTTCCTGTACAGGCAGGTGTGACGTCTGTGAAGCAAGAGAGTGTATTTCTTTCCCCCCGTCTGGGTGTCTCTAACATCCCTCCCTTTCTTTTGTGTTTGTTTATTTATTTTTTAATGTTTAATTTTAGGGAGAGAATGTGTGCACTAACGTGGGAAGGGCAGAGAGCGGGGACAGAGGGTCTGAAGCGAGCACAGAGCCCGATGAAGGGGCTCAAACTCACAACCTGAGAGATCCTGACCTGAGCTGAAATCAAGAGTCAGTGCCTAACCGACTGAGCCCCCAGGCACCTCTTTAATTTCCTTTTCCTATCTTATCACATTGGCTGGAATTTCCCGTACCGTGTTGAAAAGTACCTTTTTCTTGTTCTGATCTTTGAGGCAAAGTGTCAATTTCCTCACTGCTGAGCATGACATGGGCTGTAGGGTTTTGTAGACGTTCTTTGTTAAGTTGAGGAAGTTCTTGTCTGTTCCTTGTTTGCTGAAAGTTTGGCTCACGAATGGGTGTTGGATCGTGTGTAATGCTTTTTCTGTGCTGGTAAGGTCATATGATTCTTCTTTTCCAGCCTGTTGAGGTGATGATTGTATTAATTGTTTTTTGGATGTTGAATCGTCCTGCGTACCTGGGGTAAACCCCACTTGGTCGTGGGATGTAATTCTTCTTGTGTTTTTGGATTCAATTTGTGGATATTTTGTGGCGCATTTTTGCATGAGAGACTCCAGTCTGTAGTTTCCTTTTCTTGCAGCGTCTGGTAGTGTCTGAGTTTCCAGCTGACTCCTGGAGGGCCGCCTGTCAGGGGCACCTTGTTAATGTCTCATGCCTTTATTTTTCCTGCTCAGTCCGTCCATGGGGAATGTGTAACGTAGAAGGGCCTCAAGGTACACAGCACAGAGGCTCCTGGACGTCCTGTGACGCCGGCCGGCCTTTCCCGCTTCCCCGGAGGTCATCCACGTTCCCGTTCTGTCCCTTTTAAACCCTGTACCTTGGACATTACTACTTTTTTCCTGAAATGGTTTCCCTTTTTCGTATCTGTTTGTGCTGTGTGTTCTCATGGTTTGTCCTGAGGTTCTGGCTGTCCCCCGAAGGTGTAACTTGGAGGCGTCTGGGCATCCCGAGGGGCCTCTGCCCTCTGCCAGCGTTGGTGACTTGGCACTGGCTTCTGCGGTGCCCGCTGCGGCTTGGGCTGCTGGCCCCCTGTCCTTGCCCCTCTCCGGAGCTAGTCTGTCTTCAGTGCCTTTCCCTTGGGTGTGTCTGGGGTCAAGACCCGTCCTTCAGGGGCGTGAGTTCTGTCACCTCAGCACGTATCTCAAGGTCCGTGTTCCCTTCTTCTGTCTGGGTGGGGCACTGCAGGTGAGGCGCAGTGCAGAGGGCCTGGGAGGCCGGGGGCGGGCCAGCCGGGGCTGCAGGCAGGCGTGAGGGGCCCCACGTGGTGGTCTGCCTCCTCCGGGGGCCTGCACTCGGCAGGTGGCTGTGGGCTCGTGGGGCTTGCAGGGGTCTGCGCCCGGCCTCCCTCCAGCTTCTGGCGCCGCCGGCATCCCTGCTGCGGTGGTGTTGCCTCAGTCTCTCATGCTGGTTTCCATGCCCACCTTCAGTGCCTGGTGACCTCACCCCAAGACCCTTAAGTGGCTCCAGCTGCATAGACCTTTCTCCAGGTCAGGTGCTCCTTGCAGCCCATGGGCCGATGGGGCAAGTTTGTGCTGACCCCGTCAGTCTCGGCCCCACACAGGGAGGTGGCCACCGGTCACCCCACTTTCCTTTAAGTGGATTCACCATTAAAAGTAGGTCACCGTGGGATCTTCTGTTCATCAGAAGGCTCTAAGACTTGAGATGACAGGTGCTGTGTGGGCTGCAGCCGTGTCCCCTGTTGCGATGTGCCAGGGCCTGGGGGTCCCCGTTCCCAGTGACGGTGGCGCGGGTGCAGGCCGGCCTCGTGCTTGAGCCCTTCCCCCTCGCCTGGCCTCGCCCTGGACCGCCCCTGAGCCTGCGAGGCTGCGGGCCTTCCCACGGAGGGAGAGTAGGGATGTAGTGAGAGTGTGCGGGGGATGCTTGAGTCATATCTGGAAGCTGGGTTTTCCTCCAGGGCCCTACTCTCCATGTACAGCGCACGTGAAGGAGATGGAAAGGAGCGAGGTTGTGCTTTGTTCCTTTAGGTGTGCGGGAGGGTGAGTCAGCCTATACTGTGCTTTCCATTGCTCCTGGGGAGCGAACAACAACAGTGAGCCGGGGCGGGGGGGGGGGGACTGTGGGGAGGGCTTTGTCTGGAGTGGGGTCAGCACCTGTATTTGAGGAGCTGTCTGTGTCTGGGGGGGAGGTGTCTGGATCTTGTGGGATGAGGGTCTGTGTCTGTCTGCCAGCTTTGTACCCTTTGCCTCCCTGAGGCCCGAGCTCGGCCTCCCTCGCTGCGGTGTCCTGAGCTGGCCCTCCTACGCGGGCAGCGGGCCCCAGCGCTCTCCCGGGGGGCCGGGGGCATGCGGGTGCGCGGGGGCCTCGGTCCTCACGGAGGTGCCTCTCTCAGCACAGGAAGTCCTGGAGAACCTGAAGGACCGGTGGTACCAGGCGGACAACCCCCCCTCAGACCTGCTGCTGACCGAGGACGAGTTCCTGTCTTTCCTTCACCCCGAGCACAGCCGTGGCATGCTCAAGTTCATGGTCAAGGAGATTGTCCGGGACCTGGGTGAGGCCCCACCCATGGCCCTAGCGCCCCAGGGTGGGGGTGGGGGGCAAGGGCAGCTGGGCTGGAGGGCAGGGCCTGTGGCACCTGCAGCGACCCTCCTGCCAGGGGCTGGCCGGGGGGTCTCCGAGGCTGTGTGGCCCCCTGGTGAGGGAAGGTCAGGGCTTGCCCTGTGCCATCTGACCTCCGCCAGGCTCCTGGGCAGGTCATGTGAGACGTACCTGTTTAGGGTAAAATTTAACAGGCTAAAAATTCGGTAGCAGACCTGTTTGGTTGACTTTCTTCTGGGTGAGCCTGGGTGGTCGCGAGCCCACTTGGGGTCTGAGCGTCCGCACCTCTGTCCTGCAGACCAGGACGGCGACAAGCAGCTCTCGCTGCCCGAGTTCATCTCTCTGCCCGCGGGCACAGTGGAGAACCAGCAGGGCCAGGACATTGACGACAGTTGGGTCAGAGACCGGAAAAAAGAGTTTGAGGAACTGATTGACGCCAACCACGACGGGATCGTGACCATGGCAGAGTTGGAGGTGCGCGCGGGTGATGGGGGGCGTGGGAGCACCCCTGGCGTTGGACACAGGGCCCTGAGTCGCTGCAGTGGAAAGGAGGCGGCACCGGTCCAGCTGGGACAGGTCACTCAGTGGCACCTAGAAGTGGGCAGGGCTGGCGTCTGATGGCTACAGGCTCCCTGGTGGTGGCAGGGGGTGTTCCACCCCACCAGCCTGGTCGCCTTTGACGCTCAGAGAGGATTCGAGTGGAAAAACAGGGAGCCCAGTGGTGTGCCTCTGCCTGCCCCCTGCTCGGGGTGTCTGGGATGTCTTAGCCTCTCGAGGTTCCAAGGAGCCACTCCCCAGTGGGCCGTGGGCCGCGTTGGAATCCACCATCTTCCCCTGAAGTGTTTTCACTGGTACCGTGTGGGCTTGTTTTTTCCCATTGCTGGATGACTCATTTGTTGCACCCCAGAATTCTCTGATCCCTGCTGATACCTGGCGGACAGACACCTTGGTTCAAGGATCGAACGGTGGCTGATTTGGTCCATGTCCCTGCCTTTGTCTGTGCCCCGCATGACCTGCTGTCAGGCCCTGGGGGGTGCCACGCAAGGCTTCTTGCGCTCCAGGAGAGCTTCCCCCCTCCTGTGGTAGGGGCTCCCTGGCGAGGACGGGGAGGTAGTGAGTCTCCCGCACCTGAACAGGTGAAGGCTGCCTGGCCTTGAGCCACTTGCAGCCTGATGTCTTCATTCCAGAACATTCAGGAACACACCTCTATCCCCTTCTTGCTGCTTCTGTGCTCTCAGCCAGTGGGGGGGTTTTAAACAAGGATTTGCTCTCTGTGGCTGTTTAGAGGGTTCAAGCCCTGCTGCCGCCTCCCTGAGGCACAAGGTGCTGAGCTCGCCGGCCAGGCATCCATGTGGGGCGGGGGCCTCCGCCTCGGGGTGGGGGGGGGGTCTCAGCTGTGTCACCACGCACCGTAGTGACGATGGCGCCTGAGGTCTAGGGGCCCCAGTGCCGCCGGGGAGTGGGTGAGTGGGGGAGGGCCCCGGCGGCCAGGGCCGCGGTGCTGACGCAGTGTCCGCGGCTGCCGTAGGATTACATGGACCCCATGAACGAGTACAACGCCCTTAACGAGGCCAAGCAGATGATCGCCATCGCCGACGAGAACCAGAACCACCACCTGGAGCCTGAGGAGGTCCTCAAGTACAGCGAGTTCTTCACGGGCAGCAAGCTGATGGACTACGCCCGCAACGTGCACGAGGAGTTCTGAGCCTGCGCCCCTGTGGCCTTCCCCCCGCACCTCGCCGGCCTGCCCCTCCTGGAAGTCTCCCTCCTCCCTGCCACCCGAGGCTGAGGGTCCGGGCTCCTTATACGTGTGCTTGAGCAGGCCTGAGCCCCCGAGGTGGGCCGTGGGCTGGCCGCCCCCGTACGCGGGGCCCCACGTGCCGCCGCGTCTCACTTCTGAGAAGCGGGTGCTGTTGTGCGAAGGCACCAACCGCAGTGGCGCCCTGTGGGCTCCCCACACCCGTGGGACGTAACGTGGCTCCTGCCGCTTCCTTGAAAACCGAGCGGTGGAGATCGTGCTCGAATGTGCTGCTGGTAGCCAGCCGCTAGGGGTGCCTGCCCTTCCTGGGGCGCTGGGGAGGGGCTGTCAGGATGTCTGGTCTCCAAAAACACAAACACTTGTGACAAGAATCTTATGAATTTACTTTAAAATATAGTTGCCTTTTTCTCCCAGCTTCTTTTATTTTTTTAAGCCCATACAACGATTTTGGAACATTTGTGGCTAGGTGGCTTCCACTTAGCGCTTTTGAGGTGGGCGATTTGGTGAGAACAGAGAGTTTGGTCAGGCAGGTGCGGGAAGGACCAGCTGCATGTGACGGATGTGTTTACCGGCAACGGGGACGTCTGGGAGCTCGTGGGAGACGGCTTTCGCAGGGAGCCGAGGGTCTGGGTGTGATCCCCTGGGAGGGGTGGGGGGGCCAGGGAAGCGGAGTTTCTGGTAGAGCAGGAAGGTCTAAGGACAAGCCCTCAGGGGAGGGGCCGAGGGGAGGAGGCAGGAGGCCACTGAGAGCAGCCTCGGAGCCCCCAGCCTGGCTGGTTGTGGGGGACAGAGCAGGGGCGGCCAAGGGGCCCAGAGTCTCGCTGAGCCAGTGGCCAGGGCCTGGGGACAGGAGGGGGGTGTTGGCTGAGGTCCCACCAGACCTGCAGTTCACGCTTGCTGTCCCAGCCCTTCCTGGGGGTCAGCTGTGCCCAGTGCTTAACTGGCGCCGGGGGCAGAGGGCATTGAACTGTGAGGTCTTGAGGGTTCCTGACCCCACGCGCCGCTGAGCTGCCACCCCCAGTCTGCCCTCCCTGCCGCCCCCCTCCTCGCTGGCCATCCCCTCAGGAGCCTTGCCCCGTGGTCTGTGGCTCCTCAGTGGGCAGTTCACCCAGCCAGTGGGTCCACCCTTGCCACAGGGACCCGCTTCCGAAAAGCGTGGGGTGGGGCTTTTGCAGAGGAACAAGGGCGCGGTGACACCAGGGCAGGTTTCTAGGCAAACAAGAGGAAAGACTTGAGAAGGGACGGAGTGCGTGGTGGGAGGGGCCCCCGTGGTGGCCAGGCCCACGCGGGTGCATCAGCAGCAAGCAGGTGTGTGACGCTTGGAGGAGGCGTGGGCTGAGCCCGGGGTGGGGGGGTCAGCTGGGCCCACAGGATGGGGGTGGAGCCTGTGGGTGATGTACAGTTGTCTGTGCTCCTTGGGTCACTGCGGACAAAGGCCCGGGCCTCGGGCCAGGTGTGCAGGGCCTCAGGCAGCGGAGGCAGCCCCGCCGGAGGGCAGGTGGCCCGGAGGGGAGCGCTGCCCACCAGACCCCAAGTTCCCTCAACCTCAGAGGCTCCGGTTTGTTTCTGTGAATTTAAGAAAAGGTTTCTCTCACCCCCTATGGGCGATGGTGCACACGTGCACACGCACACACGCACACCCGGCTGGCTGGACGCCCTGATCCACTCCCTTGTGTGGACCCCGTCTCTCACTTTGGAGGCACAGGGAAGGCGGGCCCTGCGTGGCCCCCTGCCCCTGGCAGAGCTGCCTCTCCCTCCGCACCTGCTGCCGTGGGCCGTGGCCGCCTCTGTGGCAGCCTTGCCCGGCAGAGCCCAGGAGGAATTTCCCCGCAGATGGGCCGGGGGCGCGCAGCTTTCTTACCTGTTCTTCTCGGGGAGGGGGGTTTCCAGCTCCTACCCCCTCATGTCCCGTCCCCAAGGGAGGCCCCTGCCTGAAACTTTTAAATTAATTGTTGAATGGTTAATTTCATCTCATGGTTACGATTTGAAAGGTACAAAAATGACACAATATAGCGTCCCCTTTCTCAAGGACACCCAGTGGTGTCAGAGCAGCGTGCAAGAGAAAATCACACATGTATGCACACGCATTCGTCTGGTGTGTGCACATGCATGTGTGTGTGTGTGTGTGTGTTCTTCCCCTTTTACACACCACAGAGGCCCTGCACACGGGCCCTTCCCGCCTGCCCTGGATCCACCTGGCTCTGTGTCCGAGGACGCCACGCACTCCGTGAGATCATTGCGGCGTCGTTCTAGTCTTTACTGTTGCCTTGGTGCTGTGGGGACACCCTGAGCCCAGGGTGGGTGTGGGGCGGGGCAGGGCGGGGAGAGCCTGATGTGGTCTCTGAAGTTCGTGGGGGCGGCAGAGCTGGCCCCTGCCCGGCCAGGGCGTCGGATCGGGTGCTGATGGTTGGTTTTCCCAGCACCCCCCCCAACACATACCTGGGTGCTCACACACGTCCCGGCACGTGAGACACACACACATGCGCCCCACACGGACACAGGTTCACACATGCTCCCAGGCACACGGTGCACCCAGGACACACCTGCAGGCGTTTGGTCTGTGGCCGTCCGGGCAGCGTAGCATGGAGGGGGCAGCTTAAACGGCAGTCCTGGGGGCCAGACATCTCAGGTCCAGCGTGGGCAGGGCTGCTCTCTCCTGAGGCCTCTCTCCTTGGTGGCAGATGCCGCCTTCTCCTTTGTCCTCACGGGGCCTCTCTGCAGTCTCCTGGGGTCTCTCCCAAAAGGACACCAGTCCCGTGGGATCAGGGCCGCGCCCTCTGACCCCATCTAACCCTAACCGCCCCCCCTCCAGGCCCCACCTCCAAACACAGCCACATCAGGGATCAGGGCTTCCACATGTCAATCTGGGGACACAGTTCAGTCCCTGCCACTTGGGGTGCTCAGGCAGTCAGCCGCTCACACACATGCTCACACAGCAGCACACCCCTGTGTATACACTCGCGTGCTTGCCTACACAGCTCCACGCCTGCACACGCTCACACGCGGGCCCCACACAGCTCCCGCACGCGCACGCTCACTGTGTGACCCCTGCCTTGCCCTGAGCTAGTTTTGGGCACTTGTGCCACAGACTGTGCTCTGGAGTCGGGCGCGCTGCTCTTCCTCCCCCTGAGCTGCTGCCAGTCGTGGGTCCAGGTGGTGAGGGGCCTGCCTCCTGACCCGGCATGTTGCCGCAGTTCACCCATGTCCTGTGTACATTCTTCTGTGAGGAGGCAAAGATTGGCATGAACGTGGCCTTTTGTGTGTGTGTGTGTGGGAGGGGGCGTGTGGGAGCAGTCAGCCACCCGCTCCCCGGGGGGGCCGGCCCTGCCCTGCGCAGGGAGAGTGGCCGCCTAGAAGGAGCAAGCTTTGGAGGGGTTCTGAGACTAAGCCTCTTCCAGGGGGCTTGGTTGGGCTGCGGAGGGGAGGAGGGTGTCCAGGGTGCCCAGCCAAAGGGGCTCCACTTCCCTGGTGCGATGGGAGCAAGAGGGGTCTGGAGTGGGGGGGGGGTGCAGACCAGATGCAGGCCCAGAAGGGGTCGGGGGGCTGCTGGTCCTCACCTTGGCCCCGGGGTCTGCCTGCTGCAGGAGGGCGTCCGGGCTGGTGCCCAGCCGCCAGCTGTCTGAGCCCGAGGTTGGTAGGTGTAGTTGAGGGGAGGGGGCCGGGGGCCCAGGGCAGAAGAGAAGCCCACAGCCTGGAGAACTGCTGCCCAGACAGGCTGCCTCCTGGCCCCAGCCTGGGTCAGGGGGTCGCCAGCGTGGGTCAGGGGTCGCCAGCCCTTCCTGGGCCTCCTTCCTCCTGGTACCCTCCTCCTCCCTCCCTCCCCACCCCTCCCCCGCAGCCCTTATAGCCACATCCTGCAAGGAAAACCCCCAGACTCCTGCACCACGGGCGGAGATGAGGAAGCTTGCGGAGGCTCGGCAGCTCAGGGCTCCTGGCTCGGCCATCCTGCTCCTGGGGCTTGTGCTGGGCACCGCGGCGAGGCTCAACTGCACCGGAGACACCTACCCCAAAGACGGCAAGTGCTGCAGCGAGTGCCCACCAGGTGAGTGGCCTGGCCTCAGGACTGGGGAGGGAGACACAGAGATGAGGTGGGGGAGGGGCACGTGGGGACGGGGACAGAGGGAGGGGCGCGGAGGCCTGGGGACGTGCAGATGGGGGTCTCGGGACACAGGTGTCACGGGCTAGTGGACTCAGGCTGGTAGAGTGGGTGGCCTGCACCAGACCCAGGCCAGTGGGCCGGCCAGAGGCTGGGCGGGCCGGTCTGACCCCCCGGCCCTGCAGGTTACGGGATGGAGAGCCGCTGCAGTCGTGACCAGGACACCAGGTGCCGCCAGTGCACGTCCGGCTTCTACAACGAGGCCGTGAACTACGAGCCTTGCAAGCCCTGTACACAGTGCAACCAGAGTGAGCGCCACCCTAGCCCTGACCCCTGGCCCCCCACCTGTGTCCCGCTGCCCCCCGCCCAGCGCTCTCCTGAGGCCCCCGGAGCCACAGAGCCGCAAACCCCAAACCACAGTGGGGGCCGAGACCGCGTGGAGCCAGGGAGGAGCATGTGGCTGCCAGGTGGCCTTTGGGGGTAATGGGCCTCGGGTCCAAGGGCCACGTAGGGTTCTGGTGCAGGTGGGAAGGGAGGCTGGGGCTGCCCCAGGGATGCGCCCCGGGGGCCAGGGGAGTATGGGCTCCAGGGACTGGGGACAGTCAGAAGTGCAAGCCAAGCTGTGTGTGGGGCTGCTGGTTCGGGGACCCTCGGCTTCGGTCCTCTGGCCTCTCTGCAGCCCTGGCTTCCCTGCCAGCTGCGTGCCTCACCCGACCCCCTCAGGAAGTGGGAGCGAGCCCAAGCAGAGGTGCACAGCCACGCAGGACACGGTCTGCCGCTGCAGGCCGGGCACCGAGCCCCAGGACGGTTACGATCGCGGAGTTGGTGAGCCTCAGGCAGCGGGCCGCGGGTGGGGGGCAGCGTGTGCGGGAACCCGGGAGAGGGCGGCCAGGGTCACGTGCCTGTGGGGACCTCGGGAGCTGTGAAAGAGGGGTGTCTCCCGCATCACGCTTCTCATTTCCCTCTGTGCCCCCATCCCACTCCGGCCAAGTTCCTTTCCCCCAACAAACGGGCGTCCGGAAGGGGGTGGGGCGGGGCACTGGGTCAGGGCCAAAGGGTGGAGTGTGGGCAGGGAGGGGCTTCCAGAGGCCACGCCAGGTGAGCGCCTGGCCCTCCAGGGCCGGCCCCCAGCGGCCGCGGCGTCCAGGTCCCTGGGGTGGCGGCACTGGACGAGACTGTCCTTGTCTTTGTTGTAGACTGTGCCCCGTGCCCAGCAGGATACTTCTCCCCGGGCGACGACCAGGCTTGCAAGCCCTGGACCAAGTGAGTGTCCTGCGGGTCTGGGGACCCAGGGGCCAGGCCTGGGAGCAGGAAGCTGCCGGCTGGGGGTGCTCCCGACTCTCCCCCCCCCCCCCCAAATGGCCCCTGTCCCCTCATGACTCCTGTTCCTCATGGCCCGTGACCCAGGGCCCCACCACGGCCCCTGCCTGCCTGCTCAGCCCTGGGCCAGCCTCCTCCCCTCAGCCTGGCTGCTGGGCCGGAGTGAGGAATGTGTGAGACTCTTTCCCAGGCCCCCTCTCAGCTGTAGCCGGGGACCCCACGGTGGGAGCAGGAAGAGAAGGGCAGGCGGGTGGTTTGAGAGGTCAAGATGTGGCTGGAGCCGGTTGGGAGGAGACGGTGTGGGGGGCAGAGGGAGGGGACATGGGGAATGAGGGTGTGAGCAGGTGCGTGGCCTTGGAGACCCTGCAGGCTGTGAGGTTCCCTGGGGGGGGGGGGCGGGGGGAGAGGGGCCTGGGCGGGTCTTTGGCCCTTCCCCGAGGCGAGAGTCTAACACACCCAAGGTGATCCAGTGTGAGGTCCCCATATCTCCCTGGTCCTGTCTCAGCACTGGGCCCATCCAGTCAATCTGGGAGGCGTCAGGGGAGGTGGTGGTGCGGACCTCTGGGCTGACCAGCACCCCCTGCCCTTCTCAGCTGCACCTTGACTGGAAAACGCACACTGCGGCCGGCCAGCCGAAGCTCAGACGCCGTGTGTGAGGACAGGAGCCCGCCAGCCACCGTGCCTCAGGAGACCCAGGGCCCTCCAGCCGGGCCCCCTACCACGCAGCCCACCACAGCCTGGCCTGGGGCCTCCCAGGGGCCCTTCACACCCCCTGCGGAGCCTCCCAGGGGTAAGGCGGCCTGGCCTCGCCCCAGCAGGGCCCTCCCCCACTCCAAAAGAGAAGGGGGTTGTGGGGAGGGGGGATAGGGGAGAGACGCCCTCTGCCCTCACCGGGGCCCTCCCGGGGCGGGTGGACCGCTTCCTCTGGCGGACCCACCCCGGCAGGCCCGCGTCCCCACAGGTCCGCAGCTGGCCGCCGTCCTGGGCCTGGGCCTGGGCCTGCTCGCCCCCGTGGCCGCCGCACTGGCCCTGCTCATGCACCACAGAGCCTGGCGGCCCCCTGCTGGTGAGTGCTGCGGGTCCCCAGCCCGGGCCGCTTCCCCGAGGGGTGAGGTCCCTGCCCACCACCCACCCCTTCCCTCCTCCCCAGGTGGAAATAGCTTCCGGACCCCCATCCAAGAGGAGCAGGCTGATGCCAACTCCACCCTGGCCAAGATCTGAGCAGCCAGTGCCCCCACCCCAGGCCAGGGGCCCAGAGTGTCTGCTAGACAACGAGGGGCAGTGGGGGAGCCCCCAGGCGCGGGCCGCCACACCCCACCACCCACCCTGCGCCGTTTTAGGTGCTCCTGGGCTGACACCCAGGGCTCTGCTACGTATGCTGTGTGTACTTCATGCCCAGGGTGGTGCCCCCCCAATAAACGACATTGGCACATGTGGGTCTCTGACTGGGCACTGGTAGGCTGGGGGCTGCACACCTGTGGTGCCAGGGGCAGTGGGAGCTGGCACTGTACCCGCCTCTGGCTGGAGAGGGGGGCTCAAGCTGACCGCTCAGAGACCCCAGGACCCTTGCCCTCACCCCTTCTCTGGGCATGCCCCAGCACCTGTGGTGGGGCGTGGGGGCCAAAATAAACATCCTGGAGGGGGATGGACACCCCAGCAGCTTGTTGGGGGAATCCAGGAGCTGCTCCTCCCAGACCCTAAACCTGAGCGGGCCTGAGGCACCCCCCGTGCCCATGGGAGCAAGTAGCAGGCCTGGGGCCCCGGTCCGGAGGGGACTTCTGAGAGCGCCCCTGCAGGTCTATGTGCTCCCCTGAAGAGAGAGCTGAGGGGCCGTTTGCTCTGTCTCAAGGCCCCTCCAAGCCCCTGCCCTGCCAGGCCTGAGTGTGCACCCCCGAGATAGCACTTTGGGGAACGAGGGGTGGCAGACTGCGTGGCATCTTTCTGTAAAAGGCCCCAAGGCAGAAAAAATCCAAATGCCGGTCGACAGTACAGTCCCACTGACCTCAGCGCGCCTCCCGTGACCACGGGGCCTTCCCGCTGGGGCGCCAGGCCACGTGGCCAATGTCCTTCACAGCTGCTGGGCGTCCTGCGGCCGACGTGACTGAGCCCTGGTTTCCGCAGAGCCTCAGCTCTGGCCACCAACCCTCCTTGTCTCCTGGGCCATCTTTCTCCCCAGCGTTGCCCCAGAGGCCTTTCCAACGTGTCTTCAAACCTCCCACGGCTCCGGCCCCGGCCCGAACTCCCCCAAGGGGAGACAGCGAGTCTCCACAGTCTTCTGGCGTGGGACCCAGCGGGGAGCAAACCAACGTAAACCATGCCCTCGAACAGACAGCAAATCCACACCACTGGTTTGGGGATCAGGGGTCCCCAGGACAGCACGGGGGCTGTGGAGGAGTGCTGTGGGGCCTGGTGGAGGGGCCAGGGTGGGGAGAGGGGAGGGGCCAGATCCTCAGGGCCCAGGGCTTCCCCCCCACGCCCCCCAGCTCTCCCCCCAGCAGGACACCCTGCCCTTGCTGGCCGCACCATCTCTGCCATTGGATGGAAAGGTGGACAGGGTCATCCTCTCTACCCTCAGCACACTCTCCAACACCTCCTCCCCCCGCCTGTCTGCTGAAGAAGCCCAGACGTTCTCTGCCCCAGGCCCCGCCTGGCCCCCAAGCCTGGGTGTTGAGCCTGGTGTGTCCCCAGCTTCCTTCTCCCACACGGCCCCTCCTCCGCGCCCCCGCCTGGCTCCCCATCCGGCCCACTGTGGGTGCACGTAGGGGCGGCTGTGAGATCCCCATCTCCACGCCGCCACCACCCACCCCTTTCTGGTTACTGCCAGGCTCCTTGAAGGGCCGTCTGCTAACAGGAACAGGAGTCACTAAGCTGGGACAGGTGGCTCTGCGGCAGTGTGGCAAGCCGCTCGTCAAGTGCTGGAAAACACAGACGAGCAGATAAAGATCATCCCTCGCCTCACTGCCCAGTTACAGAAACCCTACCCATCCTTGCAGCCTGTGGCTAGGGGTGGGGGGTGGGGGCTTCCGGAGGGGCTGGAACGAGAAAGCAGACGCAGGCACTGACATTTTGGTGACATCACTTTTGCCTTTTGAGGGGGCTTGCTCATAAGCCACCGGCTCCGTGGGCATGATGTAATCTGGGCCCTCTGATTTCTGTGTTCCTGCAGCTGGCAGCCACGGAAAATCCTTCTTCTTCCCACTCGGGCCCCTCCCGGGGACATTGGCTGCATAGAGCTCCTCCTGCCAGCCCATCTTCACCCCTCCCCCACTGCTTCCAGAAGTTTCTAACTCTACCCCTGCTTCCGGAAGCAACAGCTGATGCATGGCACGGGCCGACAAGCAGAGTTTTAGGGTATTCATGGTATTTGCCTGGGCCACTTAGCAGAACTGGGGTGACCCTGCGCTGCCACAGACGGGGGCCCTCAGGTCTTTGAAATGAGTGGTGGACGAAGGTCCAAAACCACCCTGTTCTGTGCTTGGAGCACCTTTACCTGGTGTCCCGTATGGCCAGCGTTCAGCTGAGCGGAGAGCTCAGGCTCCTAGAGAGGGCAGCCCTTATCTCAGCCCGCCCAGAGCCCCCTCCCTTCCCTGCAGGACCAGGCTGGACCGCCTGGGGAGGGGCTGTGCTTCCTGGGACTTAACAGGTGAATCACAAGCTGCTAATTCCCGTCATTTTCCTCCGGCCAGGTGGCAGCTGCAGGCCTATGTCACAGCTGTCAGCACACCTACAGGCCTTGGGTCACATCCCGTCCCCCCGAGAATTCCCAGAAGCCTCACCAGCTTCCCTGCCAAGACTCAGCTGGAGGGCTGGGAAACATGGCTGAGCTTTCCAGGGGGGCGTCAGAACCTCTCTGTGCCACTCGGGGATGTCAAGGCTCAGAGAAACAAGGGACAGTGAATTGGAGGCTGCGTTCTCTGTGGTTTGAGAGCTCCGTCAGGGGCTGCCTCCCCCACCCAACACTTCCCGGAGGACCCGGTTGTCTGGAGAGGCCTGGGTGGGAGCGGGCCCAGCAGGTAGAGCTGTGATCTGAGCGGGCCGCCTTTGGCCCAGAGCTTCAAGTGACTGGAGGCTCAATGCCCAGCCCTCTCCTTGCCAGCAGCCTCTCCCAAGATCTGAAGAGGTCCTGGGTTGGGAGGTGTGAGGGGCTCCCCTGGGGGCTCTAAGCCATGAGCAGGATGTCTGCACAGCTGCAGTCCAGCGTCCAGGGGTGTGTGTGTGTGTGTGTGTGTGTGTGTGTGTGTGTGTTGTAGGGTGCCACTGTGTGCATCTGCAGCCCATTCAGACCTTCTTGGCCAAGTGAGGGGGCTTGTCCTGACCCCTAGAAACTGTGTGTGTCCTGATCAGGGTGTCCTGATCCCTGGAAAGTGGGGGCCTCTTGGTGTGGGGCTGCAAGCTGAGGATCAGTGAGCAGGGCCATGATGCTGGTCGGTCTCTAGGATCCGGACATTTCACAGAGGCTGAGAGACTTCACTCTCTGGTGGTTGGAGGAGATCGTTATTTTTTATTTTATTAAAAAAATTTTTTCTAATGTTTGGGGCACCTGGGTGGCTCAATCAACTGAGCATCTGACTTCGGCTCAGGTCATGATCTCACCACTTGTCGGTTTGAGCCTCGCATCGGGCTCTGTGCTGACAGCTCAGAGCCTGGAGCCTGCTTCGGATTCTGTGTCTCCTTCTGTCTCTGCTCCTCCCCAACTCACAGTCTATCTCTGTCTTTCAAGAATGAATAAATGTTAAAAAAAAATTTTTTTAATACTTTTTCTTTGGGGGGGGGTGCAGAGAGAAAGAGAGGGAGACGCAGAATCCGAAGCAGGCTCCAGGCTCTGAGCTGTCAGCACAGAGCCCGATGTGGGGCTCGAACTCACGAACTGCAAGATCACAACCTGAGCTAAAGTTGGATGCCCAACCTACTGAGCCACCCAAGCGCCCTGAGGACAAGATCTTTAAAAGCCCACAGGGCCCTCCAGAGAAAGTTGGAGCCAGAGTAGGGGACCCAGCCAGGCATGGTGGGGACACAGTGGGGGTGCAGTCCCTGGCCAGACCATCCTACTAGGGGGCCCTTGCCCCAGTCCACCTGTGCCACCTGGCATCCAGCACCCACCCTTCCTGCCCACATCCCTCCCTACAGACCTGACAGGCTGCAGGTTTTGGAGAGAAAACTTTTTTTTAATGTTTATTTATTTATTGGAGGGGGGAGGGTGAGAGAGAGAGAGAGGGAGAGGATCCCAAGCCGACTCCACACCGCGCACCGTGAGATGGAGACCTGAGCTGAAGTAAGAGTCAGACCCTCAACCAACCGAGCCACCCAGGTGCCCTGAACAGAAAACATTTCTGATCCTCGCCGCAACCCCCCGGGTCCTGCTCCAGACATAGTTGGGGATGTGGGCTGTGTTCCATGCCCCGCTCAATACTCACACATTTGGGGACATATTTAGTTTCTGGGTAGGAATTCCTGGACCAAAGGGCATGAACACTTAGGAACCCCCCAAGGTCGCCCCTGGCCATGAGTCTCCCCGGGGGCCCCCACCCCTACCCTGTGTGGTTGGGCTCTTCCCTTCCTTTAGATACAGCTGGGCTCAGTTGACGTAAAAAAAGTATTACTAAGAGCAGTTTCGGGGTCACATAAAAATTGAGGTGCAGCTGCAGAGATACGCCACGAGCCCCCGCCCCCACCAGCAGCTTCCCCTCAGAGGGGCCGTCTGTGGCCCGGACAAAGGACATGGACGTGGCATCGCCCCCCAGGGTGCCTGGTCTACAGAGGGTGACTCGCTGCTGTGCCCTCTGGTTTGGACGAAGCTGTAATGACGTGCGGCCACCACTGGGGTCACACGGGGTAGCTTGACCGGCCCCCCAGATCCGTTGTGCTCTGCTCGCCCCGGCAGTTGAGTGGCCAGGGGTCCCGGGGCGTCCCGGTGGGAACAGGCTCTCTCCTCCCTGCGGCTCGGCCGCTGCCCCGGGGCCGGGGGCGGGGTCAGGGTGTGTCCGGATGGGGCGTGGCGGCGCGCGTCCCCTAAAGTCTCCTAGCTCCGCGCGCCGCGGGTGCCATGGGGGCGAGGGGCGCGCGCGCGGCCCTGTGCGGCCTGACGCTGCTCTGCGCGCTCGGCCTGGGCGAGCGCCCCGCCGGGGGTCCGAGCTGCGGGCCCGGCCGGCTGCTGCGCGGAGCCGGGACGGACGCGCGCTGCTGTCGCCTGTGCTCCCCGGGTAAGGCGAGCGCGGGCCGCTCCCTGCGCTCAGACTCGGCCTGGGCGGGGCGGCGGGCAGCCTTCAGGGTCCGGAGCCCTCGTTCCGGGGGAACGGGAGAGGGGCGTGTGGCCCAAAGGGGGAGTCAGGGGCTGGCGCGTGAGAGCCTTCCTTAAGGGGAGCCCTAGGTCCCAAGGTGGAGGAAGGCGAGTGGATAGTGAGCTCTTGGCCGCCTTCTGCCCCACCCCCTGCCTCAGACCTACCTGTGTGGGTGAGGGGCAGGTGGGACGCGCCAGTCTGGGAACGAATACTGCAGGGAAAACACCCCCAGAGAGTCACCCTGCGGAGCTTGGGGCTTGAGAAGGGGAGTCTCAGTGTGGCAGGCAGGGGACGGGCAGCCTGCCGCAGGGGCGGTGGCAGCGGCAGCGGAGGGCAGTGCAGGGTGGAGAGAGGAGGGGGAGTAGGCCCCCAGGTGATTGCCTTGTGCTGCAGGGACACGTTCTGCTCACCTGCCAAGTCACAAGCATCCCGGGTGAGAGCAGCCTCAGGGCAGCAGAGGACTCCGCCAAGTCACACGGGTGGAGGAGCTGGGTGTCTAGGGAGGAGGGAGACGGTTGGACCAAACTGGGGTCCTGGCTCCCAGACAGTTGCCCTCTGCCCCCTGGAGCTGCCTGAGGGTTCCCTGTCTCTCCCCCTTCCCCCCGCAGGGCCTGGGGGAGTCCTGGGGAGGGAGGCGCTTGGCCCAGCCGCTAACAGGGCTGGCCTTCCTCTCGTTCAGCTGAGGTTTGTCCTGAGGGGGACTGCACATGCGTCCAGCCCGAGTTCCACTGTGGAGACCCCCAGTGCAGCACCTGCAAGCACCACCCCTGCCCGCCCGGCCAGGAGGCTCGGCCGAGCGGTAAGTCGCTGGCAGCTGTGGCCAGAGCAGGTCAGGGGGTTTGGGCAGGGCCGAGCCAGAGCTCATGGGAGCAGCTGTGCACAGTGGTGTGTGGGTGTGGAAGGAACATGCGTGTGTGGAGGGTACAGACGTGTCCCCTGGGCAGGCAAGCACTAGTCTCCCGTCCTGCAAACCCAGGTGGGTGGGGCCGCTCCCCGATCGCTGCTGCAGCCGCAGCCCAGATATGAGCCCCAGCATGCATGGGGCTCCGGGGGTCCTTCCCTGTCACAGCCTGGGTTTCTCCATCCAGAGAGGGTCCTCCGCAGACAGGATGTGGGGGGCGGTACAGGTGTCCAGGGTCTGTCCGGCCCTTGGGCCCTGGCTCTGACTATGCCCAGTCCCGCACCTCCCCTGAGCGTCCGTGTGGGGACAGTCCTGACTGAGCGAGGCCTGCCCCTGTTGCCCTGTCTGGGGGTCAACCCCTTGCCTGGAAGGAGCAGCTCAGATCCTCCTGGGGCCTGTTTACCGTAGTGTGGACTGGGGTGTTGTGAGGTGGAAAGGGCAGGGTCCAGGGCCAGCTGGGCCACGAGCCTCGCGTCCTTTCTCTGGGACCCACACTGGCCTCTTTGCCCTCGAGGCTACTGGACCAGGCACAAGGTCCGTCCTGGTTTTTGCTTGGTGTCTGCTTCCAGTCCCCTCCACCCCCCTCCCCGCCTCCACCACCGGGCCCCTCCCCCTGCAGCCTCCAGGGGGCGGCCCGTGCCCTCCCCTCTGGCCCCCCTCTGGCCGTGCACCACACAGCTCTCCTCTCCCAGATCCCTCCGTTCAGCTTAGGGTCACAGCCTTGAGGGCCCCCCAAGTCTGCGTCCCCCGCAGATGCCTGCCCTGGAATGGGGCACACGTGGGCAGTGATTGATGCCGGGTCCCGGTCTTGTAGGCATCAGAGACCTCTGTCCAATGGAGAAGGTGTGTGTGGGTCACGCTGCCGTGGCCCCAGCTGGATCCCATCCCATCTACCCCAGCCAACCGGCTGTCTGTCTGTCTCCAGGGAATTTCAATTTCGGCTTTGAGTGTGTCGACTGTGTCGCAGGGACCTTCTCTGGGGGCCACGAGGGTCGCTGCAAGCCCTGGGCAGAGTGAGTCCTGGGGGGGCCTGCGGGTGGAGGGAGGTCCCCGAGGGAGGGGGCTCTCCTGTCCTTCTTGGTGCGGTGACCCACACACTCAGGACAGCAGCCACGCGGAGGGGCTGCCCCGGTGGCGGGGGGGGGGCTGACTGAGGGCTCCGTGTCCGTGTGTCCCAGCTGCTCCCAGTTTGGGCTTCCCACCGCGTTCCCTGGGAACAAGACACACAATGCCGTGTGCAGCCTGGGGCTGCTGCCCGCTGAGCCACAGGACCCGCTGACCGCCGCCCTCCTTACCATGGCCGCCTGCGTCCTGGTCCTGACCGCCGCCCAGCTCGGCCTGCACATCTGGCAGCTGAGGAGGCAGCGCGTGTGGCCGCCAGGTCAGTTGTGCCCTCCGTCGGGTGGGGGAGGTAGGCCCGGGGCTTGCCCGGTGACCGAAGCCCCTCCGCAGAGACCCAGCCGCTGCTGGAGGCGGGCCCGCCCGCCGAGGACGCCCGCAGCTGCCAGTTCCCTGAGGAGGAGCGCGGGGAGCAGCTCCCCGAGGACAAGGGCCAGCTGAGGGATCTGTGGGTGTGAGCCCTGGCTGTCCTCTGCCACCGTGGACCCAGAGCTGGACCCTCCCGGGGAAGCGGCCCAGGCTGACCCTCGGGAGCTAGGGCGCTGCACCCTGCTGTGGGGCCCCAGCCCGGGGCCCGGCCCCGCTCCCCTCGATGGCGGAAGTGGGTGTGGGTGGTGACAGTGACCGGTCCTCCAGAACATGCAGAAGAGGCAGCGGCTGTGGCCACACTCCGCGGGAGATACAGACACGGCCACTCTGCCTCCCTCCCTCCCTCCCTGGCCCTGTTGGGGTGGGTCTATGGGCCCTCGGCTCCCAGGACGGGAAGCCGTGCCCAGCGCGGGACCCGGCTGCAGGCCGTGCTCAATAAACACTTGTCCAGTGACGCGAGCGGACTTGTTCTGGGGAGGGGGGGGGGGGGGGGGGGGGCCAGGGAGACGAGGCTGGGGGTGGGGCCGTGCCGGCACAAGCACTTAGCCTGCTAAGGGACTTGGAAGGCTTCCTGGAGGAGGGGCACCATGAGGGACGCTTGCCCTCCGTGCCTCTTTGCTGCCCTGTCCACAGCCCCCCCCCCCGGCGGTCAGCGCCCCTGGCACGCTGGGACAGCTGGGCTCTGTGTCCAGTCTCTGGGTCACTGCTGCTCCGAACCCTGGGCAGGTCACACAGCCTGCTGGCTCCCGTGGGGGGCTTGTGTTTGTGTCGTTCCGGCCCCGAGTCCAGGGCGAGGTCAGCTCCAAGCCCTGCGGCCTGCCTTCACCACCTCCCAAGATCCTGCTCCCTCGGGCCTGGTTCCCGGCTCCCAACCAGGGAGGCGAGCACCCTTCTCCCAGCCTCCTGGCAGGGCGGCCACCTGGCGAGTTTGATGACAAGGGTTCCTTGGCACACCTGCCTGGGGCGTGGCAGGCAGGCCCGGGAGGCCGGTCTCCGCAGCAGCACCTCCAGGCGCCGGCCCAGCTGGCCACCGGCCCGCAGTCCCGAGGCTCCGGCTCCCCGACACCCCCGTCCTGCCCGGGAGAGCGCCTCGACTCCTCGGCCCTCAGCCCCGTCGCTCTCGGTGGGCAGTGGGCCGGATGCGCCCAGCTCACAGCAAGAAGGCGGTAGGGAGCCCTGCAAGCATCGCCCCCGGGCATCGCCCCCAGCCCGCCACACCCCGGCGTGGAGCAGCCCACCTCTCTCGTGGAAGGAGGGCCGTGGACGAGTCCTTCGTGTCCCACTCACATGGGAAACACTCGTGCTCCCTGTGCCTGCTGGGTCCCAGGCTCTCGGCACTCCCACAGAGCCCCGTTCCAGGCGAGCACCCAGGTAAGTTAGCTAATAAATGCGAGAATCCCGGGGGCACTGGCTGGGCCTCAGGAGACAGGGAGACACAGTGCCGGCCAAGCCGGGGGTGCCCCAGGAGGGCCCTCAGCAGACCCCCCTGGCACCTGCCAGCCACACCCCCTCACCCACCCTGCTTCGGGAAGCCGGCTGTCCTCTGGGCTTGCTCTTGTCACCTGGGTCACCTGACTGCTCTGCCCCCATGGGCAGGGAACATGGGGTGCCCACGGCTGCCCTGGGCCCTCCTGAGGTGCTGGCTGAGGCTGCGCTGGGGCAGAGGGTTCCCCAGCCCCGGTTCAGCTGTCCCTGCGATGGCGGCAGGGGAGTCAAGTCGTCTGCAGTCATGGACCTTCCTGACTGACACCCAGGTTCTGAGGGGCCTCTCGGGTCGCTGACTCAGCATGGAAACTCCCCAGCCCCCACCCCCCCACCGTGTGAGGCGACAGCGCCCCAACGTCAGCATGGGGGCGGCACAGAGCAGCGTGGGAGATTCCGAGGCGCAGGTGGAGTACGGGGAGGATGCTCGACTCAGGCAGCGGCAAGAAAGGGGGTGGGCGAGTGAGGCCTGGCTTGGGGGCCGGGGGCAGGGCTCTGGCACCCGAGATCTCAGGGCTTCGGGGGGCTCAGAGCAACACTTGTGGGTGCTGGATTTGCCCCCTTCTCTCCACCTCTCCCCCGCTGCCCCTCACAGAGATGCCCCCAGTCCTCATCCCAGGTCTGTCTGCCCACTCCTGCTCCCCTCCCTCCTTGGAGCCCCCAGAACCCCATGATCCGCAAGCCTGGCTTGGTCCTGAGGCACCCCAGCTCCGAAGACAGAGCAGGGAGGGGACACGTGGAGGGCTCCGCCTCTGCGATTCTCAGGGCAACTCTTCTGTGAAAAGGGTCTGTGCAGGGCCCTGGGGGCACAGCGGCTGGGCAGTCAGGTGGAGGAGACCCCAGGGCGTGGGTGTGCAGAGGGTACCGTCGGGGGGCTTAGGTAGGAGAGGCCTGAGCTAATCCAAGTCCTAGGAATGGAACTGGGTATGTGCCCACCAGCAGAGCCTGCCAGATCACCCGACCTGGGCCACCAAGCCCTGAGAGAACCCCGGCATGAGACTGCCTGGGGCCAGCTCCAGGCCCCTCACTGCTTCCCCTGGAAACTCCCACCCACAGGAGAGCAGCTCTCCAGCTGTTCCGGAAAACCGCAGCTCCTCCCCCCGGGGCGGCAGTCCACATTGTTCAGCCTTAGATAAGGGACTGGAGGCCGCTCTTGGTTCCCAGAAGTGTTTCCGCCACAGCAGGTCCCCACCAGCCCCCTCCCCTCCCCTTGCTGGAAAAGGGCCCTGCCTCGCCCTTTACTGAGATCTGGACTCAGCTAGACAGAGGGGTTGGGACCCATCTGAGACAGAACTGGACACTGGCTCCTCTTAGGCCACCCCAGGCCTAGGACAGCTGCAGTGAGCTGTCCAGAGTCCCTGGCTGCCCCCAGGTGCTGGGACGTGCGCCTGTTAAGAAGATAGGTCCCTGATGATGGGCCTGGCCACTCAGGAGCTTTGGCCAGGACTTGGGACTATCAGTGCCCGTCCCCCCCCCGCCCGCCAACCATGGTTTCCTGAACATTTGGGAGCAAGCCACTGTTTCTAGAGGGGTTGAGTTCGAGGTCAGAAAAGGACTGGGTCCTAGAAGGGCTACCTCTGTGGCCCTGTGGCCGCTGTGGCCGCCATGGAGGCATGACCACTTCCACCCTCATGTGTCATGTTTCCAGGAAGCTTTGGGAACTGAGGTGCTTTCCAGAAATCTGATTCGGGCCACGTCTGCTCCAGACCCCTTTCCCAGACACACATTCCACCGGAGACAGGCTTGGGGGTGTATGCGGGGGCTGAGTCTTCGGGGCTCCACAGGATCTTTGGCTGAAAAAGACACATGGCTGATGGAAGGTGCTCAGCCGACCCTGGGCCCAACGCTGGGTGGTCCTCCAGATGGAAGATGCAGGGACGGTGGGGATTTCCGGGTGAGTTCCACGCCCACCAGCAGGGCCCCAGGACTCATCCCTGGAGGCCAAGAGAGAGCCAGGGAGGGGGAGAGTGTGGGGGAAGGCAGAGGCATAGGGGAGAGTGGAGGGGGGAGAGATAGACCCTCAGCTTTCAGGAGCCCATATTCACCTTGAATTACAGACTCTAGATGGTGGTGGCAGCCCGTCCTAGCACTGGGCATGCTGTCCACTCTAGTGCCTGCTGCCCATCATAGCTTTTGAATATTGGGGTGCACCCGGTACCTCCAGATGCTCAGGTCCATATGGTTCTGGCCCACAAGGCCACTTCTGGGACCCGTGAGCACTGGGTGGGGCCAAGGGAGGATCCAGATGGGGGGCGGGAGTATGGCTATCACTCCTGGGGCAGGAACAAACAGCGGTGGTTCTTGAGAAACTCCCTTTATTGACATTTGTGCTCCTGTGGGGGTGGCGGGGACCCCAGAGCAGCAGGTGGCCAGGTGTTTGGAGAAGCCCCAGGAAGGGGCTCGGTCTGGACAGAGCAGCCATGCTGCCAATGTGCACGTGTCATCTTGCCCCCACTCAGGGCCAGAGAAAGCAAGCATGTCACTGAAGCCTCAGGTCACTCCGAATGCCACGCCGACAGGCGAAGCAGCCCCAGTGTGGTGGCTGGGGACAGCGGAAGTGCTCTGGGACAGCATTGTTGGGCCACCTCGACACAACACGTGGGGCAGATGACCTGGGGGCAGGGGCTTGCAGGCCGGATGCCATTCAATGCGAGGAGGGGGCAGGAGAGGCCTGTGAACTAAGACAGGAGGTACAGAGGTACAGAGGCCCCAAGGGGTATCAGGAAGTGCCTCTGCAGTGACATGGCTGTGTAGTGGCCTGGGTGCTAGCAAGGAACATGGCCCTGACCCCAAAGATGCAGGTGTGCATCTTACAAAGACCTGGGTGTACTCGGCCTGCCCAGGAGGCCACTGCACTCCCACGCCCACATGGAGCTGGTTTCCTTCCCTCCCTGGCCTTGGGGGGACAGCAAGCAGTGGCTGAGCTTGGCCCCTCGCAGACTGACCACAGACAAGCCGGGAGGGGAGTTAGGGTTCCCGGACCCCAGGCACATGGTGTCAAGTGTGTGCTTCTTGACTTGTGTCTGGGAACCCTGTCATCCAGGCCACAGCAGCAGGATGAGGGGCTGGCAGCAGAGTGCGTTGGGAGCGCAGGGGTGCGGTGGGTGGGCTGTGAGCGACTGGACAGGCAGGGCTGGCTTTTCTTTGCTCCCTGGCCCGAGACAGTGGTGCGCAGCGCCCTCTAGTGGGTCTTCAGCTTCCACTTTCCTGGAAAGGGAGCTGCCCTTCCCAGCAGACCTCTGGTGACCCCAGGTCCCCGCAGCACTCCAACGCAGAGCAGAGAATCGTTCCAGCAGCCCCTGACCCAGGTCAGGAGGAGGGCCCTTGTGACTCGGGGGTAACCATGGAGAGGTGAGGCAGGGTGCGTGCGAGGGAGCCAGTGAGGAGGATGCGTGCAAGCTGTGGTGGGGTTGCCCGGACCCTGGGGTCTGGACTGGGGAGGGTGCGAGTGGCTGTAGGACCGGCCCTGGTCACCTGGTAGTCGTGGTCGTAGGGGGCTTGGACACACCAGAGGCCCCGAATCTCCCCCAACCCGAGGGCTGGGCCCACGAGGGATGGGAACACCTGAAGCCATGTGTGCACTGGCCAGGGCAGGGCCAGTGCCGGCTCAGCACGTTGTCCTGCAGGGCTGTCCTGCCACGGCGGCGCCCCCTCCCCGACGGCCTAGGCGCTCCGGGGCTCTGCAGCTCCAGGCCTTCGGGAAAGTTGGGGCCCATGGAGGTGGTGGAGAGTGTGGGGCCCAGGTGCCCGCTTGGTCCAGAAAGGAGCTGTGCACAGGCAGGGTCAGGGAAGCCCCAAGGGGCAGCGTCTGTGGAACAATCTTGCGTTTGAGCAATCCTCCTTTCCGTGGGGATCCAGATCCTTTCCTGGGGTCACAGAGCCAGGCAGTAGGGCTTATGCGGGCTGTGGGACTGCGGGAAAGTCCTGGTCAATGAGGGACACAGGCTGATGGGGCGGGCTTGCGCGTGATAGGGCAGCCCCACCCGGGCAGAGCGGGCAGAGCAGGCGGCTGTGGGGAGCTCACCCCCTTCCAGTAGGACCCCCGCCCCCCGCCCATTCCTCCACCCTCTGCCTCCAAGCACAGGTCCCAGCAACCGAGTAGGGGCTTGTGGGGCAGAGCACCCCCCTCCCGCCGTGGCAGCGTCTTGGGGAGCGGGCGCTGGGGACGCCTGGGGCACCCAGGGGCTGCGGGCGGGCCACCTGACCCGCAGCACCGGCCGTTTGTAACAAAGTAGCCTTTATAGGTCCCGAGAGGGCGCTGCTGGCCCGCCCGCTAGGAGCCGCGATGGCCCGCGCTCCTGCGCTCCGCCGCCGCCAGCCCCGGGGAGGGCTCCCGCGCCGGGCCCCCCGCTCCCGCTCGCAGCCGCTCGGCCCCGGGCTCCCTGCTCCGCGCGCCGTCGGGACCGGGGCCGGGGGCGCGCGGCCGCCGGGGCGCCGAGGGGGGCCGCGCGTGCGCGCCGCCGGGGCCCCGGGGTGGTGCGGCCCTGCGCGCGCCCGGCCCGTCGGCGGCGCGGGGCGCCGGCGGCGCCGGGCGGTCGGCTTCGTCCGTCGGTCGGGGCGGCGGCGGCGGCGGCGGCGGCGGCGGGCGCAGGGCGCTCCGGGAGCCCCCCAGGCGCGGCCAGAGGTCCCCCTCGCCGTTGTGCAGGAGCACGAAGCGGCTCAGTGACAGCAGAGGCAGCATCTTCTGGCCGCGCAAGCTCTTCTGGAAGGTCTCAAGCGCCAGGTCTGGGGGGGAGGTGGGGGGTGGGCGTGGGAGAGGCCGATGGGAAGCCTGGGCTGGGGGCGCGCGAGGGGCGGGGACTCAGCCTCCCCAGCCCGGGGGCTGCAGGGCCGAGGTTCTGAGGAGGGAGGAGTGGTGAGGGGGAGACCCAGGCAGGGATGCGGAGGGTGGGGTGGGCACAGGCAGCTTTTTTCTGTTGGACGTGAGCCGAGGGGGTGGGGTTTCCACGCAGGGCCTCCGCATATTCGAGAGCTGTGGGGGGGCCTCCGAATTTGGGGAGCGGGTGGGATGGCGCATCCGGGGCCGGGCAAGCGTTGAGGGGCCGGTTCGAGGGCTCTCGGGGCTGCACGAGGGCCTCACCCAGGGTTTCCATGACCACGCCCGGGATCACCTCCTTCAGGACCTCACAGTTGGTGTGCAGGGCAGGGTTGGAGTTCATCTCCAGCAGCCACACCTGCGGGCACCCCTGGTTAGGGTCCCTCCCCGCCAACGCTTGGTCAACAAGTGGCTGAAGCCCTGGAGCCCGTTAAGTCTGGTGATCCTGGCAGGTCACTTCTTTTCGGTGGCCTCACTCCTACTTGGCCAAGGAGCTAAGAGTCTGACGGTTTGAGGGTCTGAGGGTCTACTGCCCTTCAGGAGCTTGGCGGGGGTGGGGGTGGGGGGATGGGGGAGTCTGACTGTAGACTCCACCCCAGGGCTTGCCTGGGTGGTCAGGGTATACACAGATGGCCCCTGCTTCCTTCCACCTGCCCACCAGGCCCCACTCACCCTGGGAAACCCCAACAGTACCTTGAAGTTTTCATCGATCAAGAAGTCAGCCAATGAGGTCGAAGTAGCCCAGCTTGCATTGGAGCTTGGACTTGACAGCCTGGAAGCAGTGAGCCATGATCTGCTGCATCCGCTTCTGTAGATGGGGCAGGGGGCAGCGGCTGGATATCACCCCTGCTCACGCCTCCCAGGCCTGGGACCACAGCACCCCTCACCTGTGCTCCCACCAGGTGCCCTACCTGCACAGCCACACTGCCCACACTTTCACGCGGAGTCACAGGCTCACAGCTAGAAACTGACTCACTCCCAGTTCACTTCTTCAGCAAACATGTGGAGCCCCTCCCGCACGGCACGTACTGGGCTCAAGAGTGCAGAGGGCTTTGGGCAGGTCACTCACAGCAATAGTGACAGAAAGCAAACGTGGCACACAAACCACTGTATACTTTGAAAATGAAAGAAATTGAAAAGAAAATGAAGCAGGGTTAGAGAGGGGGGTTCTGGGGTGGTGGTTGTGAAAAGGGGTATGGTGTGTTGGGCCTCACTAAGGAAATAGTGAGCAGACTGAAGACTGAATGGAGGATCTGGGGGGAAGGGGTGGGGAATTTGGGGGGAGAGCCACAGCTGTAAATGGGAGCATGCCTGAGGTGTCACACAGCAGAGTGAGGCTGCTGGGGCTGGAGCCAGCTAGGGGGGACGGCAGGAAATGAGTCCAGTTACATCAGGGGGGCATGGGAAGCCCATTCCCTTTCATGCTGGGATCAGAGCTGTTGGAAGGTGGGACACAACTAACTCATGCCCTAGTAGGGTCTGCTGGCTGCTATGCGGAGAGAAGTGCAGAGGCCATGAGGAAGTTGTTGTAATAATTCAGGTGGTGGGATGGATTCTGAATATATTTTGAGGCGGAGCTAACCTGATTGGTTTATGAATGGGTTATGAGCTGTGGAAATAGTTCTCCCTAAGTGCTTGGTCTGAGATTCTGGAAAGATGGAGTCCCTGTCAATTGAGAAGAGGAATTGAGATGTTTATGAGCTTGATGATGGGGTGTGGACGGGCCCTGAGATATAAGGCTGGGGAGAAAGATCAGGGCCAATGTTTAATTGTGGGGCCAGGAGACTTTCATCCCAGTGGGTGCAGATAAAGAGCAGAGCCCTGGGCCTCTAGAGAGCAATAGGTGGAACATGGGGGGCCAGCGCGAGGGGCCAAGGGGGGGCAGGCAAGGTCCTGGAAGCCATAGAGGAAGAGCAGCAGGGGGTGAGCAGTTGTGTCCAAAGTGGCTAACAGACCAGGGAAGAAGAGGAAGACTGGGAACTGGGTTTGGCAGCATGGAGGTCACTGATGATCTCAATGAGTATTTCAGTGACACACAAGAGAAGAAGCCTCGCTTGAGTGGGTTCAAGGGAGGAAAGAAGAACATCAGCAAAAATGCAGAGGAAGCACATCTGAAAATAAGCCACTAACCCCCCCCCCCCAAAAAAAAAAAAAAAAAAAAACCCTGGCAAAAACAATCATCAGAATCAACTTTTCCAGAACTCTGGAAATTAACCAAAGGCTTGCAGCAACCTGAGGCGTGCTTAGGAAAGAAAAGTCTTGAATCTTGGTAAGAACAGCAAGCTTTGTTCAGGTGTTTTAATTTGCCCTAGTTTTATCCTCTACTTCCCAGCTCAGTGCTGGCCTTGAAAAAGGCTACATTCTCAGTACTGAAGAGAGCAGAATGGACTTGACTTGCAAAGAACTGTAGCTCTTTGTTGTGATCTCTCTGCTGTTCCCCTCCTAACCCCGAAAAGACCTCACTTGGAACGAACTAAAGGAAAATACGAGAATGATTTCTTACCAAATGGAGAATATCAGGGAAGAGACAGAAATTATAAATGGAAACCACATAGAGATTTGGGAGTTTAAAAGCATAGCAAATGAAAAATGAAATTCACTATAGGGGCTCTACAGTACATTTGAGTTGTTTGAAGATGGGTCAGTTGAGATGATCCAGTCCAAGGAACAGAAACAAGGGAATGAAAATAAGCAAAGCTACAGAGACTTGGGGGACACCATGAAGCTGACAAACACGCATAACGGGAATCCCGGAGGAGAAGGGAGTACGAGACAGGAAAAATAGTTGAAGAAATAACAGTAAAAAAACTTCCCAAATAATTTGATTTAACAACAACAACAACAACAACAAAAAGTCTACATACCTAAGAAGGTCAATGAGCTCCAGTTAGGATAAACTCAAAGAGATCCCCCATACCGGAAGCGAACTTTCAAAAGACAAAAAGAGAATGTTGAAATCAAGAGAAAAGTGATGAGTCATAAAGGGTCCCCGATAGGATTAACAGCCAACTTCTCGTCAGGAGCTATGGATTCCAGAAGGCAGTGGATGACACATTCAAATGATGATGTGTGCCCATCAACATAGATTTAGAATTATTGCTTTATTTAGTTGTTTTTTAAATAAAAGAAAAGCAACTGCCAAAAAATACATTTGCACGGCCTTTTACATTTAACTATGTGGTTACCTTTATGAGTGCTCTTTATTTCTTCTGAATTCAAGCTACTCTCTAGTGTTCTTTCATTTCAGCCTGAAGGACCATAGGGCAGTTCTACCAGTGATAACTTCTGGTTTTTAAAATCTTAGAATGTCTTAATTTCTCCTTCATTTTTTGAAGAATAATTTTGCTGGATAGAGAGCTGTAATTTGTGACAACAACAGCTTAAAGGGACGTAAAGAACTATGAAAGAACAAAAGGGTTTCTGTGTTTTTTTTTAATTAAAAAAATTTTTTTTTAATTTCTGAGAGACAGAGACAGCGTGAACAGGGGAGGGCCAGAGAGAGAGGGAGACACAGAATCCGAAACAGGCTCCAGGCTCTGAGCTGGCTGTCAGCACAGAGCTTGATGTGGGGCTGGAACCCACAAACCGTGAGATCGTGACCTGAGCCGAAGTCGGACGCTTTACCGACTAAGCCACCCAAGTGCCCATGTTTTGGCTTTTTTTTTTTTTTTTTAATACTATTGAAATTAGCTTAGGATTAGTCCAAACTAAATTGTTATAAATTAAGATGTTAATATTAATCTTCAGGGCAACAACAAATAATTTAAAAATATATAGTAAAAGAAATGACATGGAGTGCCTGGGTGGCTCAGTTGGTTAAGTGTCTGACTTTGGCTCAGGTCATGATCTCCCGGTTCTTGGGTTCGAGCCCCGCGTCGGGCTCTGTGCTGACAGCTCAGAGCCTGGAGCCTGTTTCGATTCTGTGTCTCCCTCTCTTTCTACTCCTTCCCCACTCATGCTCTGTCTCTCTCTGTCTCAAAAATACACAAACTACAAAAAAAAAAAAGAAAAGAAAAAAAGAAATGACACTAGAAATGGTATGCTAGGAAATATGTATTTAAAGCAAAATGAGGCAGTAATGGAGGAACTGAGAAGCAAAAAAGATATGACATATAGAAAATAAATATATTAAAAAATTAAAACAAAAAAGGGGGCGCCTGGGTGGCTCAGTCGGTTAAGCATCCGACTTCGGCGCAGATCATGATCTCGCGGTTTGTGGGTTCGAGCCCTGCGTCGGGCTCTGTGCTGACAGCCAGCTCAGAGCCTGGAGCCTGTTTCAGATTCTGTGTCTCTCTCTGACCCTCCCTTGCTCACCCTCTCTCTCTCTCAGAAATAAATAAAAACATTAAAAAAAATTTTTTTTAAATAAATATAAAAATACAAGCTGTAAATCCTACCTTATCAGTGATTATATCAAGTGTAAATGAATTAAACTTTCCAATTAAACAACAGAGGTTGGCAGAATGCATAAAAAACCCTTGATATACTGTTTCTAAGAGACTCACTTTAGATTCAGAGACAAAGGTTGAAAGCGAAAGGATGGAAAGAGATATATTGTGCAAATAGTATCAGAGGGCTGACATGGCTATACTTATATCAGAGAAAATAGACTTTAAGACAAAAATTGTTACCAGAGAAAGAAAAGGGCACTGTATAATGATAGAACAAGAAGATGTAATAGTGATAAATATACATGCACCTAACAATACAGCCTCAACATACATGAAACAAAAACAGAATTGAAGGGCAAAACACACGATTCAATAATGATAGTTGGAGACTTCAATGCTCCACCTTCAATGATGGATAGAACATTTAGATAGAAGATCAAGTGAATGGAAGACTTGAACAACACTACAAACCAAGTAACCCTATGAGAGATGTCTCTAGAACACTCCATCCACAACAGCAGAATGTACATTCTTCTCAAGTGCACATGGAACATTCTCCAGGGTAGAAAATATGTTAGGACATAAAGCAAGCCTGATAATTATTAAAGGATTCAAATCATAAAAGTATGTTCTCTGACCACAATGGAATGAAATTAAAAAGCAATAAGAGAAAGAAAATTGGAAAATTCACAAATATGTGGAAATTAAACACACTCTTTAGTAACAAATGAAATGAAAAGAGAACATACAAAATTTTACAAAATGCAGTAAAATCAGCGCTCAGAGGGAACTTTATGGCTGTAAACACCTATATAAAACAAGAAGAAAGATCTCAAGTCAATAACCTACTCTTCAACCTTAATAAACTAGAAAAAGGAGCGAAAAGTCCAAAACAAGCAGAAGGAGGGGCGCCTGGGTAGCTCCGTTGGCTAAGCGTCCAACTTCAGCTCACGTCATGATCTCACAGGTCGTGGGTTCTAGCCTCATGGTGGGCTCTGTGCTGACAGCTCAGAGCCTGGAACCTGCTTCGGATTCTGTGTCTCCTTTTCATTCTGCCCCTCCCCAACTCATGCTCTGTTTCTCTCTCTCTCTCAAAAATACACATTTAAAAAAAATAAGCAGAAGGAAGGAAATAATAAAGATCAGAGTGGCTATAAATGGAATAGAGAATGGAAAACAGCAGAAAAAAATAAATGAACCCAAAAGCTGGAAAGATCAACCAAATTGATAAACTCTTAGATTGGCCAAGAAAATGGAGGTAGGCTCAAATTAGTAAAATCAAGAAAGACCTACACAGAGATGGAAATGGTTATAAAAAGGATTATAATTGTTCATAGAACAGTACGAACAGTTATATTCCAAGCAAATTAGATAACTTGAAAGAAAAGGACAAGCTCTTAGAAAGATGAGCTAACAAGCTTGAGGCGATAAAAAATAGAAAATATGAATAACCTATAACAAGGAAAAGTTGAGTTGGTGATAAAAAAACCTTCCTATAAAGACAAGCCCAGGATGAGGTGGCTTCACTGGTGAATTATTCCAGACCTTTAAAGAATTAACACTGATCCTTCACAAGCGTTCCAAGAATAGAGGAGAAAAGAAATATGTCTCAGACCAGACAAACATACAAGAGAGTGCTATAGACCAGTACTGCTTACATGTGTAGACACAAAAATACTCAATGAAGTACTAGCAAACTAAATCCAGCGGCACAGTCAAAGGCTAATATAGTATGTCTGAGTGTGACTTATGCCGGGAATGCAAGAGTGTGTCTACAAATGACAATCAGTCAATATAACACAACACATTCATAGAATGAATGAAGTGACAGCAATCAAAACAGTGCGGCACCGGCATCAGGACAGATGCGCACACCATGGAACAGAATGGGATAGAATAAACCCACACGTGTCTCAGCAACTGATTTTTGTCTCTTTGACAAGTGGTGCTGGGAAAGCTGGATACCCACACACAAAATAATAAAGTGGAACCCCTACCTCACACCACACAAAAATTAACGTAAAATGGAGCAATGACCTAACTGCAAGAGCTAAATGATACAACTTTTAGAAGAAAACACACGGGTACAAATCTTTATGACTTTGAATTTGGCAATGGATTCTTTTTTTTCTTTTTTTTTTTAATGTTTATTTATCTTTAAGAGAGACAGAATGCAAGTGGGGGAGGGCCAGAAAGAGAGGGAGACACAGAATCCGAAGCAGGCTCCAGGCTCTGAGCTGTCAGCACAGAGCCCGACATGGGGCTCAAACTCACAAACTGTGAGATCATGACCTGAGCTTAACCGACTGAGCCACCCAGGCGCCCCTGGCAATGGATTCTTATATGTGACATCAAAGGCACGAATAACGAAAGAAAAAAAATAGACAAATTGGACTTCACCAAAATCTAAAATTTTGAGCAAGAAAAAGGACATTATAACCAAAGCGAATCATGGTACAGGAGAAAAGATTTGCAAATCCCATATTTGATAAGAGTCTAGTACCCAGAATATATAAAAAGCTCTTATAGCCTAACAGAGAAGATGGGCAAATGATCTGAATAGAAAATTTTCTAAAGCAGACCTACAAATGGCCAATAGGCACATGAAAAGATACTCAACACCTCCATCATTAGGGAAATGTAAATCAAAACCACAATGAGACACAGTTTCACACCTGCTGGATGACTAAAAAAGAAAAAAGAAAAAGAAAGAAAGTAACAAGTGTTTGGTAAGGATATGGAGAAATTGGAACCCTTATATATTGCAGGTGGGCATGTGAAATATTACAGCCACTGTGGAAAACAGTTTGGCAGTTCCTCAGAAAGGAACTTAAACATAAGTTACCATATGACCTCATAATGGCATTCCCAGATGTATACCCAAGAGAACTGAAAATATGTTCATGCATAAATTTGCATGAATATTCATAGCAGCGTTACTCATAATAGACACCCCAAATGTCCATCAGGTGACAAATGTTTACCAAAGCAAATTGTATGTCCCTACAATGAAATATTGTTGAGTCACAGAAAGGGATAGAGGGCTGATGCATGCAGGAAAGACCACGTCTTGTATGATACCATTATTACGAGATGCCCAGAACAGGGACGCGTGGTTGCCAGGGCCTGGGGCGAGGTGACGAGAAGGGTCTGGTAATGGGTATGGGGTTTCTTTTTGAGGAATTAGGTGGTGGTAACTGCACACCTCTGTGAAAATATTACAAACCACTAAACTGTATGCTTGAAAATGGTGAACTTCATGTCATGTGAGTTATCGATAGAGAAAGAGAAGGAGAAAGAAATTGGAGCCCCCTCCGAGTGGCCAGCGTCCACACCCACAGCACACACGGACACACACTTGACGCACACTTTAGTGCAGATGCACGCCCCCGGGAACTACTGAGCGCCTTGTGCCCAGCGCCTGCCCCTCACATAGCATAAGGGGTCTTGACCCTGCGCCCCTCCCCCCAACAGGCTGGCACTGGGGAGAAGCACACAAACCGTAAAGGTAGTAAAGACCCAGTCCCTAGGGAGTCCCTTGGTCTTCCTGAATTTGTTGTTGATGTAGCGGTTGAGATGGTCCATACTCCACACCGTGTCCTCCTTGAACAGCATGTACAGGGGGCTCTTCTTCTGCATGAACTGGGGGTGGGGGGGCAGTGCAGCACCTGGAGACCACCCCAGAGGGCCTGCCCCTAAAGAGAGCCTCACGCCAACCCAGCTACCCTGTGGGTCCACAGAGGCCCTGCGCACCCCAGGACACCCTGCAGTGGCACTGCCTGCTGAGACCCTCCTCCAGCACTTTCTCCCATGAGACCCTCTCAACTGTCAAGCCTCCCACAGATCCTCACGGGAGGCCCCCACCTAGATCCTCTCATTAAGACCCTTCCAAAGAGATCTCTGCCTACAGGATCTCTCCACTGAGGTCCTCACAGAGACCTCACCCCACTCATTTTCTACCTCTACCCATGCCCCATCCACACTTAGAGGGAGCCAAACTGGGGGTCGGAGGCACAGGGTTCAGTCATCGGTCATTTCACCAGGATGCCCTTCCCTGGCTGAAGGTGAGAAGTAGTGCTGACCGCAAACAGCGCAGCCGGGGGCCACCTCCGGACCGGGCCACTTCTGGGTCTGAGCTTCAGCTTATAGCTGAACTCTCCTCTGTGTTCCCAAGGAATGATCTTGTCCCAAAGCTGTAGGAAAGGCTCTCATCTGTGGGGTGCCCTTACCTGGTTGGTCAAGTGGCCACTGAGGTCGCTGGAATGGGGGTCATAGAGGCTGAGGGTTAGGCGGGCATAACCATGACCAAAGAAGACCATGTATGGCATGGCACAGGCAATGAGCAGGTAGGAACGCACATCAAACTTCTTCCCATCCAGTAGCAGTGGGTTCTGGATGTACCTGGGGGGACACATGGGGGCTGAGCACGTGGCTAGCCTGTCCTGTGTCCCCTTCTCCACCCACCCCAGACCAGTTCCTCAGCACTACCTGTCCCAGCTGTGACCTGTGGGCCCTCTCTGCTGGCTGAGTGAGTGTCCCTCCAGTAAGGGGACATTTCTGAGCCTGAACAAGTCAGGGAATTGGGAAGGAGGGCCTGGCTCCTAAATCTCAGCCGACTGCATGGCCTGGGGTGCCCCAAGTTTTAGTTTTCACTAGGAGCCCTGAGGGTGTGAGCAGATTGGGGCTCTGAGGGCAGGGAGGATTGCGTGGAGGAGGGAGGGCTGACATTGGGCCTTAAAGGGTGAGTGGCTTCAGAGAGGCCGGAAGGACACATCCCAGGAGGAAGGAGCTGAGGGCGTAAAGACTCAGAGGGCCAGCGGGAGGGGAGGAGCAGGAGATGGTAGTTGTGGCAGCGGCCACCCTGGCAGATGGCGAGGTCCAAAGGAGCATTTTTGAGGTCAGATGCCACCCCATCGCCTCCCCCATGTGAGGCTGGGGGTCTGGACCCTGGCCAGAGGCACAGGGAGCAAGGGAGGGGTGGTCAGCTCTGGCTGCAGGCCTGGAGGCTGCGGCTGGTGGGGCTGCGGATAGAAGAGAGGCTGGCCTTCCTGCAGGAGCAAACTGACCAAACCCTCTCTGCCCCTCCCCCATGTCCAGGGGCCTGTGTGTGTGTGTGTGTGTGTGTGTGTGTGTGAGGGGGCATCTCCTCTTCAACCCGGACGAAATGTGACACGGCTACCTCTGCTGGCTACACAGGGGCCCAGCTGGGGGCACCGCAGCTTTCCATCTCCAAGGACCCTTCTATGGGCCTTTTGACTCCCCCCCCCCCCCCCCCCCCCCCCCCCCCCCCCGCCAGCTTTCCCGGGCACCAGTGGGGCCCAGGGTCAGCCCCCGTGGGGTGCCCATGCCCAGCACCTCTGCACGACCCGCGCCTGAGGCGCCCGGAACGGCATCTTGCGGTAGATGGGGTCATCCTCCACCATCTGGGTCTTGACTTGCAGGGCGGCGACTTCCTCCTGGCTCCTGAGCAGAAAGATGCCTTTGCCCTGGTTGGAGGCCGTGGGCTTGCAGATCCATACCTGATTTTCTGTGGGAAGGGCCCCCTGAGCTCCTGGCTGGCCCCGCCCCGTTATGACCACGCCCATCCCAGGCCCCGACCGCCCTCCCGGCCAGGGTCCCGCCCCCACCAGACTCCGCCCCCACAAGGTCCCGCCCACCGCGGCGGCCTGAGCCCAGACCACGCCTACCTGGCTCCAGCGCCGCCCCCCCCCCCACGCCCCGACCACCACGCCGCAGGCCGGGCCCCGCCCCAGTGCCACCGGGTCCTTGGTCCGTTCCCGAACCCATCTTCCCGGAGCGGGCCTGGCGTCCAGTGGCCTCTCACCATCAAAGAGACTGAAGAAAGCCTCTCTCTCGTCCCTGAGGTCCAGACGGTAGGTCTCTGGGAAAAATTCTTCCATTTTCAGGACCCTGGGGGAGCAGGGAGGTGGGGAAGACACAGGGAAGGCTGTCCGCTCCCCCTAGGCTAGGCCAGCCAGCCTTTCTAGGGGTGCGACCCGGGGACAGCTGGAGGGACAGTGTCCACTGGAAAGCGGGTGGCCTCTGCCGCCCGCCCCCAGCTGTTCCCTCTGCCAAGAGCACTCTTTTTGGGGCCCTTGCACACCTGGCTTCTCTACTGGCTGCAGGCTGCCTCTCCCACCTCCTTGCTGGTCCCCACACCCCCTCAGGCATTGTGAGTGGACAGTTCAGAGCTGTGTCCCCAGGCTACAACAGTGCCCAGCATGCAGTGCCCAGCATGGGTCCTTGAGCACCCCGGCCTAGTCCAGACCTCTTCCCCTGGCTTGGGGTGCCCTTTAACCAGTTTTCATCGACCGCCGGGCCATCCTTCAGTTTAGGGCAGAATGGCTCCTCCCAGCTGGGCTCAATGCTTCTACCTCTGTGGCCCGAGGAATCCTGGGCTGGTCCAAGTGAGCTCCTCAGGGGCGGATGTTGTGTCCTTTCTAGATCTGTACCCCAGGGGGACACAGAGCCTGGCCTGAGTGGCCACTCAGTCGTGTGTGAATGGATGGATGGGTGTCTGGAGAGGTGAATAAGTGGGGATGTGGAGAGGTGGGTGGTTGGATAAATGGCTTTTGGGTCGGTGGTCCGGTGGATAGACAGACGCTTGGAGGGAATTGATTAGGTTTATCGACAGAACCAGGTAGGGGGGAGGTGGACAGCTGGACATGTGAGGTGATGTCACGGATGGCCAGGTAAATGGGTGGGCTGCCTGCCTGGTGGAGGGTGGACGGGAGAGACAGATGGTGCACGGCTGGTTGTATGGGCAGGCAGATGAGTGGACGGTAGTTGGACGAATACCCACAGTGGCTCAGGCCCGGCGGTGTGGCGGGTGGGGGGAGGGGACAGTGGCGTGGGAGGCTCTGGGGAATGGATTAGGGTGGGTGGACGATGGTGGGTGAGCGTGCCGATCGCTGGCTGGTCCAGGGGGGTGGGCAGGTGGAGTGGGTGGCAGGTATTTGGGGGTGCGTGGATGTAGGTGAGGAGGCAGAGTGGTGAGCGGCCTGGTTCCATGGAGGGTGGTCAGGGCCAGCGGCTGACACGTCCGATGGATGGCCGTGCAGCTGCGCAGAGGGTGACGGGAGGGTTCGTGGGCCAGGGTGTGTGGATGGGGAGGACACATGGGTGTGCGGTGAGTTGATGGTGGGTGCCCAGGGGGCCAGGGCAGTTTTACCTGGCCTGGGCACACGGTGATATCTTGTGGGTCTTGCTCACAACCCTCGAGTATTCCCTCAGGGCGCTGAGCAGCCCGATCTTGGTGGTGAGGACCTTGTTGTTCGGGATCTGGTAGAGCAGCTGCTCACCTGGCAGCGGTGGGGGGGTGGGGGGAGGGGGAGGGACACGCAGAGGCCTGGCTGGCATGTGGTGCTGCGGGGCCAGGGCTTCCCAGGCCACCACGGCCTCCCCCCGTGGCCTCCGTCTCCCAGAGTAGAGGGCAACGGCACCATCTGGCCCCTGGATTTGGCCCGGGAGGCTCCTGCGGGCTGCAGACCAGAGCCTGTGGCCCTTCCTTCCCCGGCTACCTTCCCGAAAGCTGCAGTAGTTGTCTCTGCACTTGACCTCGCACCACTTCAGCTTGTAGTCCTCACGCCGGCTGTCCTGGATGCGCTGCCAGCCCTTGCTCTTGCAGTAGGAACTGATTCTGGGGGGGCACAGGGGCAGCGGTGACCACGGGGGCCTTGGGAGCCTGGGAGTGGGCAGGTGCGCCAGCGGAGGGGGCGTGGGGCCCTGGGGCAGTGGAGCAGGGCCCAGCCTGAGGCCTCCCACTCACATGGAGGCCCCGTTGGTGCCTCCGATGTAGAAGTAGGGCCCCTGCCCACTGCCGTGCAGCTCCCTCTCCCCCTCCAGCAGGTGCCTCTCCAGGAGAGTGGCCCGAGGCCTGGCAGCATCAGCAGCATCCAGGAGGTCTGTGGGCAGGTGGGGGGTCAGAGGCTCTGGCCTGGCTGGAGGGCTCCCGTCCCCTGGTCCTGCCCCGAGACCACCTGTGTCCTGGCCCAGCTGGCTTGGCGGGTGCAGGGGCTGGTCCTCTTGGCTGCTCCCCATTGGTCTCTCGTAGGCCCAGCCTGTGAACAGGGCAGGGATAGAGGGGGTGGCTGGGGTCGCTGTGAAACTGACCATCCTGCCCATTTCTAGCAGCCCCTGGGAAGCACCCCTGGTCACTGGGGCCCATTTCAGCCCAGACTGAGTCCTGACCAGTAGCCCTGAGCCTATCTTGGGCAAGAGGGGAGAGTCATCACCAGCCAGGGCCCACCTTGGAGAGGGCAGGGTCCCTGCGTACCAACAGGCTGGGGGCTCCATGCAGCAGAGGGCTGGGGTGAGGCTGCAGCTGGGGGGAAACGTGGTTCAGGCACATGCCCAGGAGAGTGGGGGTCACAATGTCTATCATGATGTCATGGGTGACCCATGTCAGGCAGGGGAGATGGGGCCAGGCATGTCCTGGACAGGGGCTGGGTTCTGGACCAGGCAGGGGTGGTGCCTCCAGACTGTGGAGTGCTGCTCTGTCCCCTCTCTGTGCCTTTGCAGACCCTGGCTCTGCTGTCCTCTCTCCTGCTCAGCTGGCCCAGACCCCACACCCAGTGCATGGCTTTCTCCTGGCCCCCCCTCCCAGGGAATGGCTACATGTGATCCCCTGATGGGAAAGCCTTCCCTGGGGATGGGGCGCCTGTTCCCAGGGAGGCACCGGCCAGTCCCAGGGCTGCATTCACCTGGCACCTGCGTGTGGCCCCGCCGGATTCCTGCAGTCCTCGGTCGCTTGCCCCTTTGCCTGCGGATGTGGGTCCTAGTGGGTGGCCCCCGACGGTGGATGAGGCGGGTGTGGCGGCGGGCTGCAGGCGTGGGAGCGCGAGGACGGGGACTCCTCTGGGAAGACACCACCCGCAGCCCTCTGTGGGACCTTTGGGCAGCCCTTGGCCCTAGCCCCGGGGAGGGGTTCCTCCTGGGCTCCTGGACGTGCGCTTCCGCTTGTGGCTGGCTCCTGTCTCTGTGCTGACCGTGGGGCCTGGTGTCCTGTGGAGGCAGGGCCATCTCAGCACCCTGTTTGTGCCAGGCGAGGTTCTCCCTGCAGGGACCATCTATGTGTCATTGCCGCGCTTCGCCTCGGTGGTGCCGGCTGTAAGGAGGTCTGCTATCAGGTCTTTGGGAGTCCGGAGGGGTACCCTGGCCCCAAGTGGGTGCCTCCTCAGAGTTGAGGGTGGTACCTGTGTCTGAGGTGGGGCTGGTCACTAAGGTGTCCGGCAGCATCTGCACAGCTGCCCGGGGCCCTGCCCCTAGACGATGCCTCCTTTTGAGTCCCCTTTCCCCGTGGCCACTCAGGGACATCTCAGGGAATTTTAGCTATTCTGTGATGGGTCCTTCCCAGTTTGGGGGCTGCTTGGGAGATGAAGACTTTGGAAAGGATTGAAAAAGACAAGCAAGGGAGAGGCAAGCTCACTGTGGAGTTGCCAAGACAGAGAAAGGACAAACCAGCTGCCGGCAGATCACTTTGCAAACAAACCAGCTGCCACCCAAGAAATACTTTAGTCCCCACTTAGGAGAGAAGAGGAATAAACTGAACAGCTGTCAGCATGATTATGGGAGGTGGGCTGGTGGCTGGGGCTGGGGGAGCCTCACACCTCTGCTGAGAGGTGGGCTGAGCACGTGTGGACACCCCAGAGTCCCCTGCCCCAGCCCTAGCCCACCCAGACTGGGAGGGCTCCTTGGAGGAGGCCGAGTGTGGGGGCTGGACCTGGTCCGGCATGGCTGGGGGGGTACAAGCCTGCCCAACACAGGGAGAACATGCGCGTGTGCGTGCGTGCACCCAGCCGCCTCCCACTTGGTTCCCAGAACCCAACAGCAAGTCCCAGGAGCCCTGCTGGGATACACACCTCCCCAAAGGTGCTCATGTCCAATACCATCCCTCCGCACTCTTGAGTGAGTGGCCATGGTGTCGACAGGCATCCGAGGGAGGCCCCCCGAGGTGTGAGTGAGTGTGCCACACACGCAGAGTCATGCACATGCGCACAGGAAGTGGAAGAGGCGGGGAGAATGGATGACACGGGAATGAAGGAAGTCACCCCCTGGAATGTGCTGGGTTGTGAATGGGAGAGTCGTCACCCCTGAAAGAGGGCCGGATGCCATCAGAACAAAGGGGCCCAGACTACAAATGAGTTTCTGTAAATAGAAATGCAATAGGAGGGTTGGAAATTCAAGGCAAGGAAATTGCCCAGGAAGAACACAAATATGGGAGTGGGAAGGATATCGAGTTAGGCTGGCATCTGTGGGGCATGTGACACTGGACTCACGGGAGCCCTGGGAGGCAGAGGGGTCAGAGGGGCCCATGCAGGGCATCTGGATGAGCATGGCCAGAAAAATCCCGGACATACCCCCGCGGGGGAATTCCTGGGTAGTTCACCTAATCTCTCCGTGCCTTGCTCTCTTCACCTGTAAAGTGGGCTGGCGGGGACAGCAGCCTGACAGAACTGCTGTGAAGACAGAGGGCTTGTTATACACAGGACGCGTGTCAACCTGGGTTAGTGGTGATAATGGCGAGGAGGACGTGGCGACTTTTGGGCACGACTGGAGGCCAGCCGTGCAGAACAGAGCGGTGGTCAGCTCCGCAGGGAGCGGAGTGTGTGCAAGAGAGCGAGGCCCACCCTCCACCGTCCACAGTGGACGGAGGACTTCTGCAGCGGATCTGGAGCCCACCAGCGTGTGCGCGCTCTGCGGAAATAAGAGCAGCCACCAGAGGTGGCCTTACGCCCCCATCCGGCTTCCCGAACTCTGTACGGGAGCCCCTCCACCCTTGCTTTCCCCAAGTTCGAGTTATCCGCCTCACGTTTACGAAGGACCCACGTTAGTACCTGCTTTTGCTAACTGAAAGAAGTCTGAAGAGGCCGTTTGCCTTTACAAAAAAAGGCGAAAAGAGAAAATAGCGTTCGGCTCTTTGGTTTGCAGCGAGCCCACAGAGGCAGTGGACAGCCCGACAGCCCGCACAGTTCCTTCCCGGGAACCACCCCCAGCGTCCCGGCGTCCAGCCCTACAGCCCTGAGCAGTGTCTGTAAGCATCTGAGCTTTATCTTGATTTGTATTGTGCATCCATTAGCAAGAAGTACCCTAAGGTATGAGAAAAGCCTAAGAAAGGTTATTTTTTGGGTCCGGATGTGCTAATATTTTTTTCCCAGATGCCTCTTTGCTTTATATCATCTTGGCTTACGAAGGGTTCATAGGAGTGCTCTACGGATGGTGGGGAAGCCTGCTTATTACTTTCACAAAGAAATAAGCCATGAGTGATCATTTCTTGTCATTCAAATTAACAAAGGGGGAGAAAAAAGGCCCCAGGTGTGCACACAGGTGGGGAAATGTGGCGTCTGTCTGCGGCTGGCAGGGCCGTGACCGGTGGGGGCGGGGGGGGGGTCGTCAGACCTCCCAGCCCCCCGAGCCTTCTCTCTAGTGCTTGCACTTGTCAGAGTTTCTCTGAAGGACGTCATTCTAAATACAGATGCAAAGCTTTATGCTCAAAGATGTTCACGGAATGCATGGATCACAAGAGCCACAGGACGGGAGCCCCCAGCAGCAAAGGATGACCACCGACTGCACGTGCGGCCTGCGGACGCAGGGACAGCACTGCCAGGGGCAGGCGAAAGCTCGACTTTAGAGTAAATTTTGAAATAAGCTTTTTACCTGGTCAGGTAAAAAGAGCGGCAGGAAGCAGCGCCCGGGTAGGATGGAAGGAAGCCCCTGGTGAACCTTCAAGGAAACAAGAGGAGGTCGGTGCCCTGCCACGCGTCTCCTCCCCGACACACGTCTGTCATCACGGGGTGCTCGGCGGGTGCTGACATTGTTCGATGGGCTGGTGCCTCCCGGCGGGGGGCGGGCTGTCTGGGAGGATGCCCTTCGGGGAACTGGTCCAAGGAGACAGCCCTAGTCCTGGGCAAAGGGGCTTGTCCTGAGGAGCCACCCCCCCCAGAAGACAGGCCCCTTGTGGCCTGGCCTGGGGGTCTGTGACCCTCACGCTGTGGCGCTGGGGGGGTGGGCCCTCTGCAGAGGGGGCTCATCTCAGCCAGGACGCCCCTCTCCTGACCCTCCTTCATCTCCCTTCTGCTCCTGGGCAGAGAGACTGAGAGAACCCACAGGCGGCCAGGTGGGGAGGGGGCACGGACGGCAGCCCCAGCCCTCACACTCAGCGAGGACCCCTGCTGGTGGCCTGCCTGTCCCTCTTACCTGCCCAACAAGGTGGTGTAAGCCCTCTGCCGGGGAAACAACAGTGGTGGCCTGGCAACCGTCTCTGGGCAACAGCCAGCCAGTGGCCCAGAGGCAAGCAGGTGGATGGGGAGGGGCAGGAGGTCAGGCTCCGTGGGGAGCTAGTCAGGGGGCCCTTGGTGGGAGGTGGGGGGGGTGGGCCTGTGGCTGGAGCAGGGGCGTTATGCGCACAGTCCCCATGTGGGCCTTGCATCGTCCACGTGATCACCCCCGAGCCTTCTGAAGACCCCCAAATCCATGCCCAGACCCCAGGGCCTGACCTTCTAAGGGTTTTTGTGTTCCCTATGCTTCGCATGCTCTCTCTCACCTCCCCTTACCGCAGCCACGTGGCCTTGCCACCCTCCAGAGTCTTGTGTGGGCCTCAAGGGTGTGTCTCTGCTTAGGGTGCCTTCACCTGCTTCTTGTAGGACTAGATGGTGTCCCCCCAAATGTGTCCATGTCCCGAGCCCCAGAACCTGCAGATGTGACCTTACTTGGAATAGGGGTATTTGCAGATGTGATTAAGGGTCTGGAGATGAGATCCTCCTGGATTATCTGGTGGCCCTAAATCCAATGGCCAGCGTCCTCCCGAGAGGGAGGCAACGAGCGGAGACCCAGGAGAAGTCACGTGAAGATGGGGGACAGAGGCTGGAGTGGTGTGGCCACGAGCCCAGAGATGCCTGGAGCCACCAGAGGCCGGAAGAGGCAGGAAGGACCCTCCCCTGGAGACTCTGGAGGGAGTGCGCCCCGCCCCCCACCTTGCTTTCTGACTTCTGGCCTCCTGAACGGGGAGAGAAGGCACTTCCGTTGCTTCAAGCCCTGCAGTTCGCAGGCATTTGTTATGACGGCCCCAGGAGGCTGACATACCCCTTAAACCGCTCCTTACTTTTGAGTGTCCCGTGGGTGACCCCGCTGTGCAGAGGCCTCCCTGACCCCACACAGAGGCTGAGGGCCAGCCAACCACCCTGGGTCCCTGTGTGTTCCGGGGAGGTGGCCCCTTGCCTGCACTGACACAAGAGCTCAAACTCCAAAACCTTGCCTAATAACCCGACAAACTGGATGGTGTGGGTGCCGCCCCAGCCTTTCCCACGATGGTAATGGCCTGGGGCCGAACGCGTCACTGTGCATCATTAACCTGCCATCACCGTGGGGGCAGGTGGGCAGCTGGGGGCCTCTGAGCTGGGGGGCGTGCTGGTGGTCCAGGGAACGTGGGGAAAAGCCCAGCGGTGGGTGGGGAGTTGGTGCCTCTGCTGGGGCGAGGAAGGCCTCCTGTCGGACTCCATGCAGCCTCTGGCCTCTGGTACCCCTGGTACTTCTGCTTGGCCCCTGAAGGTGTCCGCATGGTCCTTACTTGGCCATCTGCTCCCAGGGGACTTCCTGGGCCGCTCTTACCCTCCCCCACCCCCAGCCACCACCTTCTGGATTGCTCTGGCTTCTTCGACACTGACAGCCCTTGTAGTTGACGTGTCCTGCTCCCCAGCCTCATTGCGCCTGCTGGAGCACCTGCTGCCCCCTCTCAGGGACACCCCCTCCCCGGCGTCTAGAGCTGTGAAAGTTGGCCAAGGTGCTCAGGAAGTGGAGCTGGTGGAAAGGTGGCAGCCCTCCCCCAGGGCCCCCAGAGGTCCCCTCTTCCCCGACTCGGGCTGTAGAGCACCTGGGCCGGGCGCAGACCCTAGGACCTACTTGGAATTCTCAGGGGAGAGAAGGGGCTTTGGGGGGCAGCCGTGAGACTGAAGGTGGGGTCAACATCCAGAAGTTTGGTTTCGGGGATAGCTCTAGACAGAGGATGTCTCCATGAGCCTCAGTGGGTAGAGCAGAGGGGAGCAGGGACGGGCTGCGGGCGGGGGGTGCTGAGACCAGCTGAAGATTAAGGGCTGCCTGCCCTTCAACTCCAGGATGATGGTGTGGCACCTGCGGGCCACTCCCTGACTGACTGCCCAAGCCTCAGGGATGGGCCTGTGGGGACCTGGTGGGGTCCTGAGCTGAGGCCCAGGAAGGGAAGCAAAGGTGACCGGTACCCCTCCCCTGAGCTTCTTGCTCTAGGCTGAGGGCAGGGTCTCCACTCCAGCCCCCTCAAGGGTCCTGGTGCTGCCTGGGGTGGGGGACAGAGTGGCCCAGGGAGGTGGCCGAGTGCTCTTCCCTGCCCTGGGTTGGAGGTTTGGGGGTCTGGGGCTACTTCAGTCTTGTCCTCCTCAGGACCCCCTGCCTGGTACAGGTGAGGTGAGAGCGCTCTAGGTGGGGCTCCAGGGGGCTAGCTGGCTGCGGCCCCGGGGGTTCCTCTGGCCCCACAGCGGAGCCAACAGCATATGACACCCGCCTCCTCACAGACGGGCCCTATCCACCCACACACCTGAGATGAACAGAAGCCAGCCGCCTCCCCACCTCTCACCCTTTATTTCACCGACAATCCATTATGGCTGTGTCTCCATTCTGACCCGCTGAGGGGTCAAAGGGCTCCCCCACTCTGGGGTCTGGAGGCGGGGAAAGTCCTGCGCGACCCATGCCCTGTGGGGACACCCGGGTCCCGGGCCCGGGCAGGTGTGCACTGCCTGACTCAGGGCCACCAACGGGCCCATAAAGGACCACGGCCCCGCCCTCCACCCAGTGTCCCTCCGGGGCCCCTCCTCCAGCGGCGGTCAGGCCATGGATGGACGGCATTACCAGACAGTATTAGACAATGGAACCCAGATCTAACCGTGTCTGGTAAGACGCCCATCGGCAGGCTGTGGTGCAGGCAGCCTCCAGGCAGCGGCAAGGCCTTCCAGGACGGGAGTGCTCCGCCCATCCCGCAGCGCCCTGAGGAGGCCGTGAGACCCCTGACCATCCTGAGTCTGCAGAGTGGCTCCCAGAAGTCCCTGTGACCCGAGGTCTGGCTGGAGCCTCCCAGGACCTGCCTCGTCCCGGGGCTGCTCTGAGCGGGGCTTTCCTGTGGCCCTGAACCGCGGCAACGCTAGCACGCAGCGCCCAGGTGCGTGTGCTCGTGGGTGTATCTACGGAGCCAGCGACCTGGTTTCCCTGCACTTGAACCTGAGTATGCTCACTGTGGCACCCTCGCCAGTTTCCTGAATGGCTCTTGGTCGGTTAATGAATAACAGTGAGGCCAGGGGCAGACCCCTCTTCCCTCCCAAGAGGCCGGCTGGGACCCGGTGCAGGGTAGGGTTCCTGGGGCCCGGAGGGGCCGCCCCTGTGCAAGTCAGCTGGGCAGGTCTGGGGGCTGGCATCCTGGCTTCAGATCAAAAAGATAAAACAAAGGGCCATCCTGGCCTCGCCGATTTCGGACAATGGTCTCATTCTTGACCATGACACTGTGGAGGCTGGTGGGGGGAGGGGGAGACTCTGTTCTCGTTGGGAAACAGCACAGAATGTCTACTGCCTTCTGGCTGTGGGTTTGGGCCAGGCCACCTGGACACACCGCTGTCCTTCCTGCATCCCTGGTTGACCAAGAGAGTGAGTTCCCCTTCGCAGAGTAAGAGTCCTGGTGTGAGAGAGGCCCCGCCCATGGCTGGCCTCGCTTGACTGGGGCCTCTAAGGGCAGGGCCAGCTCCCAGAGGACCAGCCAGGGTGCCCGAGGACAGCCACAGTGGACGTCTGACCCGGTATGGTGGACAGGAGGGGCAGAGAAGGGAAGGGGCTGCCTGCTGCCAGCTCTGTTCCAGCCGGAAAATGCATTTCCTCAGGTGGCTGCTGACCTGGGCCCAGTCCCCGCTTCTGCTGAGAGCCCCCAGAGTTCAACCGAAGCAAACACATTGGAGCAAAGCGGGCAGGGCTGGGTGTGCGGGCCAGGACCCCAGGACGAGGCAACGTCCAGAACATGACTGGTGGCCCTTTTCCAGTCCTAATGTCCCAGTCCTAATGGTCTCTCCTGGGGGTCAGAGCACCCTGAGAACTCGGCTTGGGAGGGACCCAGGGGTCCCCAGCCTGGGCTTAGTGGCACAGCAGAGGGGTACCCACCTGCAGGTGGGGGCTGCCCTCATGGGCCGGGCCGCAGAGCTGAGACAGGCTGTCTGCCCAGCCCCAAGCCAGCCCTGGGCCTTGGCCCATCGTTGGAGTCCAGGAGCTCAGGACGGGGTGCGTCCTCGGGCCGTTTCCTGGCAGGCAGGCGGTGGGTCACCTTTGAACATCGTTACCAGACAGTGTTAGAGTCAAACCAAGAAATCCAGCACTGTCCGGTAAGATGCCCACAGAGGCCCAGGTGAGCCTCGGCCCGAGGACAGGGACAGACACCTGGTGCCCACCTGTGTGCAGGCAGGGTCCAGGCGGAAAGGGGTGTGGATCCCCTGGGAGGGGGGGGGGAGACACCCGAGCGTTCCTCCCAGCTTTCTCCGGAGCAAGACCTGGGGCTAAAGACCCAGGACCAAGGCTGGAGACATTGTCGGTCTGCAAGGTGGCCCGCCTGCCCCGGAGCCGTCTCCTGGCCGTCCAGGGGTCACCCCGAGGCCCAGGCTGGGCCTTTGCCCTCCAGAGCCCTTTGTTGTGGCCCACTCAGCCCACACCTGCCGGGGGCGGGTGGGGCGGCACCTGCTGGGATGTTGTGGGCAGGGCCCGATACCTGAGTGTCCTAATCCAGGATCACTGTCTGGGGGGGGCGGTGCTCAGTGCAGCTGCAGGGCACCTTTCACCCTGGGGGGCCAAGAAGGGGCACTCAGACATGCCTGGGCCCTGGGGAGGGGTCACCTTTCTGCCCCACAGCCCTACCTGGCAGGAGGGGATGGAGGAACTCTGGCTGGGTGGGCGGACTCAGGGTATCTGTGGGAGAGCTGGGGCCTGTGTGGGGAAAGGGAGGGACCTGGGGTCGGGCTGGGGGAGGGCGGCCCCATCGCTGCGTGCAGGGCCCCGCCGTCATCATTACCAGGCAGTATTAGAGACCTGACACCATCCAATGCTGCCCAGTAAGATGGCGATGGCCGCCCCCAACTGGGTCTGGGGGCCGCCCCACTGGGGGGGGGTGATCAGCAGCCTGAGGTAGAACCACGTCCATCCTCTTAGGACATGGAGGTGGGGAGGGGACCTGGAGGGGTGGGGGCTCAGGAGCGGCCCCGGACGTCCCGAGGCCACAGCGCCGGGCTGACCCAGGGGAGCCTGGGGAGGCTGGGCTGCAGCACCGGGAAACCCCTGAGGGCCAGGACCACGGGGTGACCTCCTGCCCGGCTTGGCGGGGCCATCGGCTCTGGACACGGCCCCAAGGAGGGCCAGGGTGTCCTGCCTGCGGGAGGCAAGGACAGAGGGGTCCTGAGGAAAGGGCTGGACATCAGGCCCTGCCCCCCTCGGGGTCCAGGTGAAGGTGAGTGTGTCTAGAACCAGAAGGGCTGCTGAGGCTGGACAATGAGCCTCTGTCTCCCAGACGCCGCCCCAATGTCTGTCTCCAGCCCGGCCCCCTGGTGCCCTTTGTCAAGGGCGTGGAAGGGTGTTGGGACAAGGACGGGGTGGGCCATGGCTCTTGAGGCAGGACAGCACTGGGGGCCCTCTCAGCCCCACCCCAGCAAGCGGGACGGGGATTCCCCAAGGCCCAGGCGCTCCACCTCGCTCACCGGCCAGGCCAGGGCTGGGTCTGTCTGCCCGCCCCACTGCTCCGTGGCGCTGGGCTTCTGGCTGCGGCTGGCTGTGGGGTCCGAGGATGAGACAGCGTTGGGCCCGGAGGAGAGAGCAAGGGGTACCCGCCCAGCCTGTGCCCGAGCACAGACCGCAGGAGGAGCCCCCCACCCCCACCCCGTGCCAGTGCAGGCCCAGCCAGTCCTCGGAGTTCAGAGTGGGGTCAAGGAACTGGACCACTCTGTGCCCACACCTGGGGCCCTGCCTGGATCTGAGAGGACCCTGGCCCCTGCCCTGGGGAGACTGAGGGGTCCCCTCCTCCCTCTCGCCCCTCCTCTGTCACAGGTGACACCTGGACCTGGAGAGCGGGCCAGAGCAGCTCCTCAAGTTTTCCAGCACCTTCCGCCCACAGAGGCTGTAGAGAGGGGGTGTGGGCCCCCTGCTGACTCCCCCCAGGCCACTCAGCTGACCACAACAAAGACTGTGTCCACCTGTCTGACCAAGGCCAGGTTCACCTGCTTCTCCAGCTTTGTTCTCAGGAACAGCCAGCATTTCTCAGAGGACCCGACGGTGGTAACACAGGCCCAGCGTTGGGGGGACTGGTGAGAAGCCTGTCCTCCGCGGGGGAAGGAGGCCTCACAGGAGCCTGGACCCTCCAGGTGACTATGTCCAGGCCCAGAGGGTGGAGTCTACAGTCAACCTCTTGCCCTGTACCCCCATCACCCTCTCCCCTCTTCTGGGATCCACACCTCACCTTTCCAGGTCTGTCCCACGGACCCTGTAAAATCAGTGTGCCTTAGGGATGCAATTCCA